CCTCACACGGAGACCATGACAAGTGCTGACGACTGCTGGACTGACCACAGGCTAATTCGATCCTCGATGGCTATCAAGATCGCTCCCAAGCGCAGACTCCAAGGAAGGAAGACAAGGCGCAAAATGAACACCCAAGCCCTTCAGGAGCCCTCCAGACGAGCCCATCTCCAAACAGCACTCAAGGACCATCTACCCACAGTACACCCCGAAAAGGTTGAGGAACATTGGAACAAACTGAAGACCTCCATCATCCAAGCCTGCGAAGAAACCAAGCCAAGAAACATCAAGACTGGTTTGATGAAAATGACATCGAGATCCAACAGCTAATTGACAAGAAAAGGAAAGCCTTCCAAGCATGGCAGAGAGACATCAACTGTGCTGCTAAGAAAAAGATCTATGCCAGTGCAAAAGCTGAGGTCCAAAGAAGGACAAGAGAACTCAAGAACATCTGGTGGACAAAGAAGGCTGAAGAAATCAAACAGCTTGCAGATACCCATGATGCTCAGGGATTTTTCAAAGCCACAAAGGTCATCTATGGACCAAGGAACCATGGCATACAGCCTCTACGCTCATCAGATAGAACCAAACTCCTGAAGGACCAAAAATCAATTGCACTACGTTGGAAAGAACACTACCAAAGCCTCCTGAACCGCAGCTCCAATGTGGCCGAAGAGGTCCTCTCACAAATCCCGCAACAACAAACCAGGGATGAGCTTGCAGCACTGCCTAGTTTGGAAGAAGTCAGCAATGCCATCAGCCAACAGAAGAATAACAAAGCCAGTGGACCAGATGGGATCCCTGCTGAAATCTTTAAAGAGGGAGGACCTGAGCTGACACACCAACTCCACCAGCTCATAGAAAAAGTATGGGTGACCGAGAAAATCCCAGCAGACTTCAAGGATGCCACCATCATCACCCTCTTCAAAAAAGGGGAAAGAACAGACTGCGGAAACTATCGAGGTATCTCCCTTCTAACCTCTGCTGGGAAAATCCTCGCAAGAATCTTTGCAAACCGCCTTCTGCCCCTCTCAGAAGACACCCTCCCAGAATCCCAGAACGGCTTCCGCCCCTCCAGAGGAACCGTGGACATGATCTTCACTGCACGACAGCTCCAAGAAAAATGCAGGGAACAAAACCAACCTCTGTCCATGGCATTCATCGACCTTGCAAAGGCATTCGACACAGTGAACCGCAGCGCTCTCTGGACCATCCTCCAAAAAATCGGGTGCCCAAGCAAATTTGTGAACATCCTGCGGCTCCTCCATGATGACATGATGGCAACAGTCTTGGACAGCAATGGCTCCCAAAGTGACCCATTTAAGGTGGAATCGGGTGTCAAACAGGGATGTGTTATTGCCCCAACTCTATTCTCCATCTTCATCGCTATGATACTTCACCTTGTTGATGGGAAGCTTCCCACCGGAGTGGAAATCATCTCTCGGACAGATGGCAAGCTATTCAACCTCAGCAGACTGAAAGCCAAAACCAAGGTCACAACAACATCTGTTATAGAACTCCAGTATGCTGATGACAATGTAGTCTGTGCACATTCAGAAGAAGACCTACAAGCCTCTAAACACCTTCGCAGAAGCATACAAGAAGCTTGGCCTGTCATTGAACATTGAGAAAACCAAAGTTTCCAGCAGTCACCAGCCAATCCCTCTCGAATGCCAGAAATACAGCTTAATGGTGTAACATTAGAAAATGTTGACCATTTCCGCTACCTTGGCAGCCACCTCTCCCACCAAAGTCAACATCGATGCCGAAATACAACACCGCCTGAGCTCTGCAAGTGCAGCATTTTCCAGAATGAAGCAGAGAGTGTTTGAGGACCGGGACATCCGTAGGGATACCAAGGTGCTTGTTTATAAAGCTATTGTCCTCCCAACCCTGATATATGCCTGTGAGACGTGGACTGTCTACAGACGTCACATGCAGCTCCTGGAACGTTTCCATCAGCGCTGCCTCCGGAAAATCCTGCAAATCTCCTGGGAAGACAAGCGGACAAACGTCAGTGTGCTGGAAGAAGCAAAGACCACCAGCATTGAAGTGTGCTGGAAGAAGCAAAGACCACGTTGTCCGGATGCCTGACCACCGTCTCCCAAAGCAGTTGCTCTACTCCGAACTCAAGAATGTAAAATGGAATGTTGGTGGACAGGAAAAGAGATTTAAAGATGGGCTCAAAGCCAACCTTAAAAACTCTGGCATAGACACTGAGAACTGGGAAGCCCTGGCCCTTGAGCGCTCCAGCTGGAGGTCAGCTGTGACCAGCAGTGCTGCAGAATTTGATGAGGCACGAATGGAGGGTGAAAGAGAGAAACGTGCCAAGAGGAAGGCGCATCAAGCCAACCCCGACTGGGACCGCCTTCCACCTGGAAACCAATGCCCTCACTGCGGAAGAAGATGCAGAGCAAGAATAGGGCTCCACAGCCACATACGGACCCACAAGGAAATCCATAATGGAAGACCATCTTACTCGTCCAACGAGGGATCGCCTAAGTAAAGTAATCCCTATGCCCTGTTCGGCCTTACGACTGACCAGTAGGACCTCTGTCTTGTCTGGATTCAGTTTCAATTTGTTAGCTCTCATCCAGTCCGACACAGCGACCAAGCACCAGTTCAAGGTCTGGACAGCCTCCTTGGTGACAGGTGGGAAGGAGTGACAGATCTGGACATCATCTCCGTAGAGATAACACCTCATTCCGAAACTCCAGATGATCTCTCCCAGCGGCTTCATGTAGATGTTAAACAACATCGGGGACAGAATTGAACCCTGTGGGACTCCACACAACAATGGATGTGGGGCCGAAGAGTTGTCACCCAGTAACACCTTCTGAGACCGTCCCTCAAGGAAGGACTAGAGCCACTGCAAGGCAGTACCCCCGGCTCCCATATCTATGAGGCATTCCAGAAGGATACCGTGATCGACGGTATCGAAGGCCGCTGAGAGGTCCAGCAGAACTAACAGGGACACACTCCCCCTGTCGAGCTCCCGGCAAAGATCATCTACCAAGGCGACCAAGGCTGTCTCAGTTCCATGTCCCAGCCTAAAGCCAGACTGTGCCGGATCTAGATAATCAGTGTCTACCAGAAATCCCTGGAGTTGTGAAGCCACCACACGTTCCAGGACTTCGCCCAAGTAGGGGAGATTGGAAACTGGCCGAAAGTTGTCTAATTGAGTGGGGTCCAGTGATGGTTTTTTCAACAGCAGTTTTATGATAGCTTGTTTTAAGCTTGCTGGAAACTTTCCTTCCTTTAAGGAGGCATTAACCACCATCTTTACCACTCCACCTATCGCCCTCTGGCTTCTTTTATCAGCCAGGATGGGCAGGGGTCTAGGATGCATGTGGTAGGTCTCACTTCCCCAAGGATCCTGTCCACATCCTCAAGCTGAACCAACTGAAATGAATCCAATAAAACCGGACAAGCAGGTGCTCGTGTTACATCCTCAGAGACTGTTGTTAACATAACATGCTTACTGAAGACGCAGCCCACTGTTTAACATCTGTTGGGCCATTTGAATAGAACGGCAAAGCATCCATAATCTGTAAACTAACAAAATGAAGTTCAACAGTGACAAATGCAAGATACTCCACTTTGGCAGGAAAAACGAAATGCAAAGATACAGAATGGGGGATGCCTGGCTAGAGCAGTACGTGTGAAAAAGATCTTGGAGTCCTCGTGGACAACAAGTTAAACATGAGCCAACAATGTGATGTGGCGGCAAAAAAAGCCAATGGGATTTTGGCCTGCATCAAGAGGAGCATAGTGTCTAGATCTAGGGAAGTCATGCTCCCCATGCGCTATTCCGCTTTGGTTAGACCACACCTGGAATATTGTGTCCAATTCTGGGCACCACAATTCAAGAGAGATATTGACAAGCTGGAATGTGTCCAGAGGAGGGCGACTAAAATGATCAAGGGTCTGGAGAACAAGGAGCGGCTTAGGGAACTGGGCATGTTTAGCCTGAAGAAGAGAAGGCTGATGATCAAGGGTCTGGAGAACAAGCTGTATGAGGAGCGGCTTAAGGAGCTGGGCATGTTTAGCCTGAAGAAGAGAAGGCTGAGAGGAGATATGATAGCCATGTATAAATATGTGAGAGGAAGCCACAGGGAGGAGGAGGGAGCAAGCTTGTTTCCTGCTTCCTTGGAGACTAGGACGCGGAACAATGGCTTCAAACTACAAGAGAGGAGATTCCATCTGAACATGAGGAAGAACTTCCTGACTGTGAGAGCCATTCAGCAGTGGAACTCTCTGCCCCGGAGTGTGGTGGAGGCTCCTTCTTTGGAAGCTTTTAAACAGAGGCTGGATGGCCATCTGTCAGGGGTGCTTTGAATGCAATATTCCTGCTTCTTGGCAGGATGGGGCTGGACTGGATGGCCCAGGAGGTCTCTTCCAACTCTTGGATTCTATGATTCTATGAATATTACGTACACGCACACACACTTCACTTTCCTAGATTCCAACAGACCTCACAACCTCTGAGGATGCCTGCCGTGGATGTGGGCGAAACGTCAGGAGAGAATGCTTCTGGAACAAAGCCACACAGTCCTGAAAACTCACAGCAACGCAATTCTTCCAGCTTTGGGATGCTATGAAAAATAAATAAGAGCGCCCCCTGGTGGGCAACCTTCATAATGGCAAAGCTCACTCTAAGAAGCCCCCCCCCCTCAAAAAATACCTGTCCTCACCTGCCACGCTTCCTTTTCTTGGAGGGAGGGGTGGGTTTTTCCCCTCGTTAAGCTCAGGCACTAAAGCAACTTGGGTCCTCCCTCCCTCCCTCCCTCCAGGTGTTTTGGACTCCAACTCCCACCATTCCTAACAGCCTACCGGCTGTTAGGAATGGTGGGAGTTGGAGTCCAAAACACCTGGAGGGAGGGAGGGAGGGAGGGCCCAAAGGAAAGGCACTCTGCACATGCCCAGAGGCGCCCTGTGTGTGTGTGTGTCCGGTGACGCGCCTGGAGGGAGGGCGGGAGGAAGGCCCTCCCCTTCCGAAGAGGCGCTCTGGGGCGGGGCCGCTCCTGCTTCCGATTCCACCCGCGGGAGTGGCTGCCGTGGCTGCTACAGTGTGTCTGCCGGTTGCCTTGCTCCTTCTCTCTCCGGATATGGACCCCCCGGTGAAAGCCGGGACCCTCCTGGTCCAGCAAACGGCGGGGCTCCGCCTGGGCGCCAAGGTCAGAGGAAAAGTTAGGGAAGTTTGGAGTTAGGAGAGTTAGGAGAGGAGGAGGAGGAAGGGGAGGAGGAAGACCTAGAGGTGCTTTCTGCCAAACTTAGGGAGAGGAAAAGGAGGAGGAGGAAGGAGAAGAGGAAAAGGAAGAGTTGGGGAAGTTTGGTGCCCAAGTTAGGGAGAAGAGGAGGAAGAAGGGGAGGAAAGGGAGGAGAAAGCGTTGGGAAGAGTGAGAGGATAAAATTAGGAAGAGTGAGAGGAGGAAGAAGGAGAGGAAGGAGGAGGAGGAAGAGTTGGGGAAGTTTGGTGCCCATGTTAGGAGAGGAGGAAGAGAAGGAGGAGGAAGAAGGGGAAGAAAGGGAGAAAGCGTTGGGAAAGTTTTCGGCTAAAGTTAGGAAGAGTGAGAGGAGGAAGAAGGAGAGGGAGGAGGAGGAGGAGGAAGAGTTGGGGAAGTTTTCTTCTGATGTTAGGAAGAAGGGGAGGAAGAGGAGGAGGAAGAGCTGGAGGGGTTTCCTGCCAAATTTAGGGAGAGGAAAGGGAAGCAGAAGAGTTAGGGAACTTTAAACACACTGTTTAGGGAGAGGAAGAGGAGAGAGAAAAGGAGTTGAGGAAGTTTTGTGCCCACGTTAGGGAGAGGAGGAAGAAGGGGAGGAAAGGGAGAAAACGTTGGGGAAGTTGTCGGCTAAATTTAGGAAGAGTGAGAGGAGGAAAGAGAGGAGGAAGGAGGAGGAAGAGTTTTCTGATACTAGGAAGAAGAGGAGAAAGCAGGGGAGGAAGAGGAGGAGGAAGAGCTGGAGGTGTTTCCTGCCAAACTTAGGGAGAGGAAAGAGGAAGAGTTGGGGAAGTTTGGTGCCTAAGTTAGGGAGAGGAGGAGGAAGGAAGGAAGAGGAGGAGGAGTTTCCTACCAAACTTAGGGAGAGGGGAAGGAAGAAGAAGAGGAAGGTGGAAAAGTTGGCGGAAGTTTTCTTCTGATGTTAGGAAGGAGAAAGGAGGGGAGGAAGAGGAGGAGGAAGCGCTGGAGATGTTTCCTGCCAAACTTAAGGTGAGGGAGAGGAAGGAGGAAGAGTTGAGGAAGCTTTCTGCCCAAATAAGGGAGAGGAGGGGAGGAAGAGGAGGGGTTTTCTGCCAAACTTAGGGAGAGGGGAAGGAAGAAGAGGAGGAAGGAGGGGAGGAAGAGGAGGAGGAAGAGCTGGAGGTGTTTCCTGCCAAACTTAGGGGGAGGAAAGGGAAGCAGAAGGATTGGGAACTTTTATGCCGAAGTTAGGGAGAGGAAGAAGAGGAGGAGGAGTTGAGGAAGTTTTGTACTAAAGTTGGGAAGAGGAGGAGGAGGAAGTACAAAAGGAGGAAGGAGGAGATGAAGAGGGGGACAAGGAGAGGAAGTTCTATGCCGAACTTAGGAAGAGGAAAAAGAGGCAAAGGAGGAAGAGTTGGAGGTGTTTCCTGCCAAACTTGAGAAGAGGAGGAGGAAGAGTTGGAGAAGCTTTCTGCCAAATTTAGGGAGAGGAAAGGAAGGAGGAAAGGGAGAAAATGTTCGGGAAGTTTTCTGCTAAAGTTAGGAAGAGGAGGGAAGAAGGAGGAGGAAGAGTTAGGGAAGTTTTGTGCCAAAATTAGGGAGAGGGAGAGGAGGAAGAGTTGGGGAAGTTTTGTGTTGGTTAGGGAGAGGAGGAGGAGGAAGAAGAGGAAAATCAGGAGGTGCTTTCTGCCAAACTTAGGGAGAGGAAAGGGAGGAGAATGGGGAGGAAAGGGAGAAAGCATTGGGGAAGTTTTCTGCTAAAGTTAGGAAAAGTGAGAGGAGGAAGAAGGAGAGGAGGAAGAGCTGGGGAAGCTTTATGCCCAAGTTAGAGAGAGGAAGAGAAAGAAGAAGGAGAGGAGGAAGAATTGGGGAAGTTTTCTGCTAAAGTGGGAAGGGAAGGAAGAAGTACAGAAAGAGGAAGGAGGGGATGAAGAGGCGGATGAGGAGAGGAAGTTCTAATCTTATTTTGCCAAAGTTGGGGAGAGGAGGAGAAGAAGGAAGAGCTGGAGGTGTTTCCTGCCAAATTTAGGGAGAGGAGGAGGAGGAACAAGAAGAGGAAGGGGAGGAAGAGCTGGGGAAATTTTATGCCAGAGTTAGGGAGAGGAGGAAGGGGAGAAAGAGAAGAGCTGGAGGAGAGAGAAGAGTAGGAGGAGGAAGAGTTGAGGGGAGAAGTTTTCTTCTGAAGTTAGAAAGAAGAGGAGAAGGGGGGGGGGAGGAAGAGTAGGAGGAAGAGCTGTAGGTGTTTTCTGCCAAACTTAGGGAGAGGAGGAGGAGGAAGAGTAGGAAGAGTTGGGGGAGAAGTTTTCTTCTGAAATTAGAAAGAGGAGGAAGAAGAGGAAGAGTAGAGGAAGAGCTGTAGGTGTTTTCTGCCAAACTTAGTGAGAGGAGGAGGAGGAAGAGTTGGGGAAGATTTCTGCTGAAGTTAGGAAGAGGAAGAAAAGAGGAGGAAGAGAAAAGAAAAAGAGGAGAAAGAGAAGGAAGAGGAAGGCACTGCCCCTCCCATTTCCTGAGCCCTTTAAGATGGGGGGTGCCTTTGTGTTTATATGCAGGAAGCGCCTCTTCCGCCTTTCCAAGGGACTTTTTTGTGGGCTTTCCCTTCTCCTTCCTCTGCTGGGCTCAGGGCCTTTTCTGTGGCAGCCCCATCTCCTTAGATTTCCAGAAATACAGAACAACCTCAGGGGTCAACACCACAAAGGCCCCTACATCTCAACGAGGTGTCTGTTGGGATTCAGCCTCACACAAGCCAAGTCTCAAGTGCTCAACGAGGAACAGTTTAGTTAGCATTAGAGTAGCCTCAGGGTTTTCCCTTCCATTTAGTATCCTGTTTATATTTTGGATGCTCTGCTTATTTTGGGGGAACTTTTCCCTCACAGTGCCCCCATCCCATATCTGCACATTCTTTATTATAAATAGGGCACCTTAAAATGGTGTTGGCTCTTTGGGCTGCAGCATCACACCGCTGGCCCATGTTGAGCTTGTGCTAAGGCTCCTAGGTATTGTTTCCCATACTATGAATGTCATTTTTTCCTGCCTAAAGGCAGTCCTTTCCACTCCATTAAAACCTTTTTTTGTCCCACAGCGCTGGAAGAAGAGCTGGTGCGCCCTCTTCCCGGCTAGTGCGCATGGCGTGGCCCGCTTGGAGCTCTTCGACTGCAAGGAGGGCTCGCTGGGGATGGGAGCTGACCCCCGGACGGCTACCAAGCGGGCTGAGAAGAAGACCGTGCGTCTGGCCGAATGCGTGAGTGTGGCCCCCGCCCCAGAGTGCAGCCCCAAGGAGGGAATGGCCGCCTTCCGCCTGGAGACCAGCCAGCGCGTCTATCTCTTGGCCGCCGAGGCCCAGGAAGCAGCCGGGTGGGTGGCCCGCCTCTGCGAGATCGCTTTCCCGGTGAGTGAGTGGGGGGCCCTTTTGAGCCTCCTTGATAGTAGTAGTAGTAGTAGTAGTAGTAGTAATAACAATAATAATAATAATAATAATAATAATAATAATAATAATACCAACAATAGATCCCATCCTCAGCTGCTGCAAGAAGATCACGTTCACGCAGATAGACTACAAGCAGAGGCACAACACGGTTGCTCAGATGATTCATTGGAACTTGTGCCACAAACACCATCTGCCTGCGACAAAGAACGGGTGGGATCACAAGCCGGAAAAAGTTACAGAAAATGAACATGTCAAACTCCTCTGGGACTTCCGAATTCAGACAGACAGAATTTTGGAGCATAATACTCCTGACCTCACGATTGTGGGATTCTCAGTGTTGCAATCCCAGGTGACAGCAGGATTGAAGAGAAATAACTGGAAAAGATGACACGATATGAGGACTTTAAAGATCGAACTGCAAAGACTCTGGCTACAAACCAGTAAAGGAGGTCCCAGTGGTGATTGGTGCAGCGCCTCAAGACCTTGGCCTGCACTTAAACACAATCAGCGCTGACAAAATCAACACCTGACAGCTGCAAAAGGCCACCTTAATGGGATCTGCACGCATTATTCGTCGATACATCATACTTGGGAAGTGTCCAACATGTGATCCAACACAAAAGCCAGCAGAGTGTCTGCTGTGAACTCATCTTGTGGTGTTTCGAATAATAATAATAATAATAATAATAATTATTATTATTATTATTATTATTATTATTTCTTCACCCTCAAATACAAGTTATGACCAAGATAGGTTCTGGGTTGCTGTGAGTTTTTCGGGCTGTATGACCATATTCTAGTAGCATTCTCTCCTGATGTTTTGCCTACATCTGTAGCTAATGGCATCTTCAGAGCTTCTGTTAGCAGTGAGGCAAGTGGAGTGTGTACATCTGGAAAGTAAGGTTCACAAAACGTTGCAGGGAATTTTCTCAGGGGAAGTTGGTATCACTGCTGTGTAGCAGGAAGCCAGCGGAAGTGAACGAGCAGTGCCAGTCGTCAGTAGCTCATCGACTGGCATTGTAGTGAAGGTTTGAGATGGGTGTCCTCATTCCTTTTCCCTCCAAGTGCGAAATTCATGCTGTACAAAGGTTATCTGGAAAGTAAGGCTACAAGGAATGTAGCTCTTGCGGGTAATTTTCTCGGGGGAAGTTGATATCACTGCTGTGTAGCAGGAAGCCAGCGGAAGCGAACGAGCAGTGCCAGTCGTCAGTAGCTCATCGACTGGCATTGTAGTGAAGGTCTGAGATCAGTGTCCTCATTCCGTTTCACTCCAAGTGTGAAGTTTGTGCTATAATACGCTACCTAAATGCTAAGGACATGAATGCTAGTGCAATTCATCGCAAAATGTTTCCGTTTACGTAGAGGACGTAATGTCAAGACAGCATGTGACAAAATGGGTATGGAATCTATTGTGAGACCATGAAGAAACTTCACAGAACCAATTCAAAACAAATGTTGTGGGATGCTGCTGGTGGGAGTCCTTCATGAGAATGCGGCTCCGCATGCTGCTCATCAACACAAGAGTTGTTGACTTCATTTGGTTGGGATGTTGGGAGTCATCCCTCTCACAGCCCCCATCTGTGGGCTGGTTGACCCCTGCTCCGGCCGGACTCTCTACTCTTGGCCCTACCGCCTCCTCTGCAGATATGGACAGGCTCCTAGGGTGGATATAGCGTACCTGGATTTCAGGAAGGCCTTCTTTGACAAGGTCCCCCATGACCTTCTGGCAAGGAAACTAGTCCAATGTGGGCGAGGCAAAATTACGGTGAGGTGGATCTGGAATTGGTTAAATGGACGAACCCAGAGGGTGATTCTCCCCAAGGCTTCCTCTTCATCCTGGAAAGAAGTGACGAGCGGAGTGCCACAAGCAGGGTTCCGTCCTGGGCCCGGTCCTGATCAGGATCTTCATTCATGACTGAGATGAAGGGCTAGAAGGCAGGATCATCAAGTTTGCAGATGACACCAAAATGGGAGGGATAGCCAAGACTCCAGAGGACAGGAACAGGATTCAAAACGATCTTGACAGATTATAGAGATGATGGGTCAAAACTAACACAATGAAGTTCAACAGGGACAAATGCAAGATACTCCACTTAGGCAGGAAAAACGAAATGCAAAGAGACAGAATGGGGGACGATGAGGCCTGGCTCGGGAGCAGTACGTGTGAAAAAGATCTTGGAGTCCTTGTGGACAGCAAGTTAAACATGAGCCAGGAATGTGATGTAGCGGCAAAAAAAGCCAATGGGATTTTGGCCTGCATCAAGAGGAGCCTAGTGTCTAGATCTAAGGAAGTCATGCTCCCCATGCTCGTATTTCACCTTGGTTAGACCACTTTACCTGGAATATTGTGTCCAATTCTGGGCACCACAATTCAAGAGAGATATTGACCAGCTGGAATGTGTCCAGAGGAGGGCGACTCAAATGATCAAGAGTCTGGAGAACAAGCCCTATGAGGAGTGGCTTAAAGAGCTGGGCATGTTTAGCCTTCAGAAGAGAAGGCTGAGAAGAGACACGATAGCCATGTATAAATGTGAGAGGAAGTCATAGGGAGGAGGGAGCAAGCTTGTTTTCCACTTCCCTGGGGACTAGGATGCAATGGAGTAATGGCTTCAAACTACAGGAGAGGAGATTCCATCTGAACATGAGGAAGAACTTCCTGACTGTGGGAGCCGTTCAGCAGTGGAATTCTCTGCTGGAGTGTGGTGGAGGCTCCTTCTTTGGAAGCTTTTAAACAGAGACTGGATGGCCATCTGTCAGGGGTGCTCTGAATGCAATATTCCTGCTTCTTGGCCGAATGGGGTTGGACTGGAGGATGGCCCATGAGGTCTCTTCCAACTCTAGGATTCTATGATTCTATCTCACACTCAGTAACTATCACCAGCTCACTAAATTGAAGGAACACTGGCGTGGAAAACACTTTTCTGACGACAATGAGGAGGTGAAAATCCAAGTGACAAACTGGTTGAAAAAGGCCGAGGGAAACGTCTATGACACAGGCATCCAAACCTTGTCCCACGGATAACAAAATGTATTGAACTGAATGGAGATTGTGTGGAAAAATAATGTAATAATTAGGCTACAATCCATGGAAGTTTTGTTAAAAAATATTCATTCTTTGTACTTTTAAAAATAATCTTGCAACATTACTTTTCGGATAACCGTTGTATATATCTGTGGAATAATGTCCAGGGTGGGAGGAAAGAACCCTTGTCTGTTTAAAGCAAGTGTGAATGTTGCAATTAGCAAACTTGTGTAGCCCTGAGTTGCCATGAAGCTGCAAAGTCAATCAGTGAGGGTATCTGCATAGAGGTAGCCTTGCCTCTGTTGTCTGGAGGCACCCTCTGTTTGGGAGGTGTTCACTGGCACTTCAGTGTTTGCTGTCTGGAGTTCCCCTGTTTCTGAGTGGTGTTCATTCTTTACTGTCTTGATTTGGGTGTTTTTGAATACCAGGAGCCAGATTTTGTTCCTTTTTATGGTTTCCTCCTTTCTGTTGAAATTGTCCATGTGCATCTTGTGGGTTTCAATGGCTTCTCTGTGTTGCCTTGACGTAATAGTTGTCAGAGAGGTCCAGCATTTGGTTCATCAAGGGCTCAGCTACAGCTGACTTCTCTGGTTGGATTAAGTCGCACCTCAGGATAGATTCACCTTGCTCAGAACACCACACACGCCAAGGCTGTAGGTTTTGTAGTTTATTAAAGAAAGTTTTAAACACAAAAGTAAACTTGCAAGAGTTCAATAGTCAAACAGGGACTTAAATGCAAAAGCAGAGTTTCCAAAGCCCAAAGGCAACCAACATGAAGCATAATCCATAAGCATTGATCAAACAAGATTCCATGGAAGCATGACAGACTCCCCAGAAGCCAAGATCCACATCAAAGTCCCAAGAAGCCAGAAGCATTGCCCAAAAGCCCAGGCAATCCAGAGAAGTTATCAGGGTGTTCGCTGAAGTAGCACTGACAAAAGGTTGCCTTCAATCAGCTCACTAAATATACTTTCTCAGCATGAAAGCATTCTGGGTTGTTGTAGGTTTTTTCGGGCTATATGGCCATGTTCTAAAGGCATTCTCTCCTGACATTTCGCCTGCATTTATGGCAAGCATCCTCAGAGGTAGTGAGGTCTGTTGGAATTAGGAAAAAGGGTTTATATATCTGTGGAATGACCAGGGTGGGACAAAGGACTCTTGTCTGCTGGAGCTAGGTGTGAATGTTTCAACTGACCACCTTGATTAGCATTTGATGGCCTGGCAGTGCCTGGGGCAGTCTTTTCTTGAGAGGTGATTAGATGTCCTTGTTTGTTTCCTCTCTGTTGTTGTTCCTGTTCTAATTTTAGAGATTTTTAATACTGGTAGCCAGATTTTGTTCATTTTCATGGTTTCCTCCTTTCAGTTGAAATTGTCCACATGCTTCTTGTGGATTTCAATGGCTTTTCTGTGTAGTCTGACATGGTGGTTGTTGAGAGTGGTCCAGCATTTCTGTGTTCTCAAATAATATGCTGTTTCCAGGTTGGTTCATCAAGTGCTCTGCTATGCAGAGAAGCCATTGGAATACACAAGCATGTGGACAATTTCAACAGAAAGGAGGAAACCATGAAAATGAACAAAATCTGGCTACCAGTATTAAAAAACTCTAAAATTACAACAGCACAACAACAGAGAGGAAACAAACAAGGACATCTAATCACCTCTCAACAAAAGATTGCTCCAGGCACTGGCAAAAATGCTAATCAAGGTGATCAGTTGAAACATTCACACCTAGCTCCAGCAGACAAGAGTCCTTTGTCCCACCCTGGTCATTCCACAGATATATAAACCCTTTTTCCTATTTCCAACAGACCTCACTACCTCTGAGGATGCTTGCCATAGATGCAGGCGAAACGTCAGGAGAAAATGCCTTTAGAACATGGCCATATAGCCCAAAAAAACTACAACAACCTGGCCTTTTGTGTTCTTCGATTCGTGTAGGTTTGTTCTTATGTTGCACTTGTATGTAAGTCGGAACAGGTACAATTTTTAAGTGTAAGTCCAGCCATAGCCATCCATCCATCCATCTATCTATCTATTTATCTATCTATCTATCTTTGGATCACATAAGGAAGAGTTACATCCCTGAGATGTTTCCTTTGCAGTCTGTGCCCCTGTTCAGAAGATTTCCCTTATGTTTCTGTCCCTGTGAGAATTGGATTTTGGAAAATGTGGCTTATTGTGGAAACAAGGATTGGTGAGAAAGCAGGAGTGAATATTTTAAAATAGAAAGAATTTCTTGACATTAAGAGTGATATTTATTTATCCTGTCAGGAGCAAACCAAACAGTTGTATTGTATTTTTTAATAAACAAACAAACAAAACACAGTTTGCAAGCTTGGTAGTTGATTAAATGTCCTTTGACCAGTAGCTGGCCACTTGGAGTGCCTCTGGTGTTGCTGCAAGAAGGTCCTCCATTGTGGCATGTGGCAGGGCTCAGGTTGCATTGCAGCAGGTGGTCAGTGGTTTGCTCTTCTCCACACTCGCATGTCGAGGATTCCACTTTGTGGCCCCATTTCTTGAGGTTGGCTCTGCATCTTGTGGTGCCAGAGCGCAGTCTGTTCAGCGCCTTCCAAGTTGCCCAGTCTTCTGTGTGCCCAGGGGGGAGTCTCTCATTTGGTATCAGCCATTGATTGAGGTTCTGGGTTTGAGCCTATTTATTTATTTATTTATTTACTCCATTTGTATACCGCATTTATCAGCCTGGCGGCGACTCAATGCGGTTTACAATAAAAATAACACTGAACAATATGTAAGACATACATCCACAAACAATACACATATTCATCGACGCCTCATTTAGAATCAGATTCCGTTTTCATAGACCTTATACAATCCTTGTTCAATGCCGTCATTGTTAGTTAATTGCCAAAAGCCTGCTCGTAGAGCCACGTCTTCACCCTCCTCCGAAACACCAGTAACGAAGGGGCCTGCCTGATGTCCACCGGTACCGCATTCCATAGCCGAGGGGCCACCACCGAGAAGGCCCTGTCTCTCGTGCCCGCCAGCCGCTTGTGACGCCGGCGGAACCGAGAGCAGGGCCTCCCCGGACGATCTTAACGCTCTTGCCGGTTCGTAGGTGGAGATGCGTTCGGAGAGGTAAGTGGGGCCGGAACCGTGTAGGGCTTTATAGGCTAAAGCCAACACCTTAAATTGTGCTCGGTAGCAAATTGGCAGCCAGTGGAGCTGGTTCAACAGGGGGGTGGTATGCTCCCTGAGAGCCGCTCCCGTTAGCAACCTGGCTGCCGAGCGCTGGACCATCTGAAGCTTCCGGGCAGTCTTTAAGGGCAACCCCACGTAGAGCGCGTTGCAGTAATCTATACGGGATGTGACAAGAGCGTGGACTACCGTGGCCAAGTCCGACCTCCCAAGATACGGGCGCAGCTGGCGCACAAGCCGAAGCTGTGCAAATGCTCCTCTGGAAACCGCCGAGACTTGGGGTTCCAAGCTTAGCGAAGAATCCAGAGTCACACCCAAGCTGCGAACCTGCGTCTTCAGGGGGAGTGCGACCCCGTCCAACACAGGCTGTAACCCTATACCCTGTTCGGCCTTTCGACTGACTAGGAGTACCTCTGTCTTGTCTGGATTGAGGTTCAATTTGTTCACCCTCATCCAGTCCGACACAGCAGCCAAGCACCGGTTCAGGACCTGGACAGCCTCCTTAGTAGTAGGTGGAAAGGAGTGACAGAGTTGGACGTCATCTGCGTACAGATAACACCGCACCCCGAAACTCCGGATGATCTCTCCCAACGGCTTCATGTAGATGTTAAACAACATGGGGGACAATATTGAACCCTGCGGGACCCCACAAGTCAATGGTTGTGAGGACGAGCAGGTGTCCCCCAGTAACACCTTCTGGGTACGATCCTCTAGGAAGGACCTGAGCCACTGTAAAACAGTGCCTCCCAGGCCCATTCCCGCAAGGCGTCCCAGAAGGATACCGTGGTCGACGGTATCGAAGGCCGCTGAGAGATCCAGCAGAACTAACAGGGACACACTCCCCCTGTCAAGCTCACGCCGGAGATCATCCACTAAGGCGACCAAGGCTGTCTCGGTACCATGCCCCGGCCTAAAGCCAGACTGTGCCGGATCCAGATAATCAGTGTCTACCAAGAATGCTTGGAGTTGTGAGGCCACCACACGTTCCAGGACTTTGCCCAAAAAGGGGAGATTGGAAACAGGCCGATAGTTGACGAATTGAGTGGGGTCCAGTGATGGTTTCTTCAACAGCGGTTTTATAACAGCTTGCTTTAAGCTGGCTGGAATTTTGCCTTCCCGAAGGGAGGCATTAACCACCACCTTCACCCACTCGGCCAATCCCCCTCTGGCCTCCTTTAGAAGCCAGGATGGGCAGGGGTCTAGGATGCATGTGGTTGCTCTCATCCCTCCACGCACCTCGTCCACATCCTCAGGTTTCACAAATTGAAACGAATCCATCAAAACCGGACAGACAGATGTTCTCGTCACATCCTCAGAGACTGCCGTTAACATGGTATCCAGACCTGAACGGATCGAAGTGACTGGGTGTTCCAGTGAGTGTCTTTGTAGATCTTCAAAAACTATTTCTGATTTAAGTCGTTGACGTGCTGGCTGATACCCAAACAGGGGATGAGCTGGAGATGTCTCTGCCTTGGTCCTTTCACTATTGGCTGCTACTTCCCGGCGGATGTCAGTTGGTGCAATACCGGCTAAGCAGTGTAATTTCTCCAGTGGTGTGGGGCGCAGACACCCTGTGATAATGCGGCATGTCTCATTAAGGGCCACATCCACTGATGTGTTCCACACTGGGCATGCGTACTCAGCAGCAGAGTAGCATAACGCAAGGGCAGATGTCTTCACTGTGTCTGGTTGTGATCCCCAGGTTGTGCCAGTCAGCTTTCGTATGATATTGTTTCTAGCGCCCAGTTCTCAACTATTAGTCATTTGTAAGTTGGGTTCCCTCAGGTGGAGTTTCCTTCCCCGGAAGCTGTTGTTGTTGTTATATTTAACAACACAGGCAGTCCCCAAGTTTTGAACAAGATAGGTTCTGTAGATTTAAATCCAATACACTTGGAGGGCCCAAGTTTGCCCATGCCTGCACTAGTGGAGTCTGCTTCCCTTGGGGTTTTTAAACTAGATGGCCATCTTTTGGGAGTGTTTAGATTGTATCTCACTGCCAAGAGCACAGAGCGCAGTCTGTTCAGCACCTTCCAAGTCGCCCCGTCTTCTGTGCGCCCAGCGGGGAGTCTCTCATCTGGTCTCAGCCATGGACTGAGGTTCTGGGTTTGAGCCTGCCACTTTTGGACTCCCGTTTGCTGAGGTGTTCCAGGGTAGATAGCCCTGAAGGTCTCTCTCAAATCTAGGATTCTATGATTCTGCCTTGGGAAACTGTCTGCTCTCGGCTTTGGCAGGAAGAGGTGGGTGCCCTATTGCCTGGGAAATGATCCCTCCCCAAATCCCGCACTCACTCCCCCCTCCCTCATCTCATTGCAGCAGCAGAACCCATGCCAAGGGTCCCAGCTGGCAGCCAACCAGGCCGGAGAGCCGCCGTGGGAGATGGCCACAAATTCCATATATTACTCCCAAGACGAAGGTAGGAGGGGCTTGGCACTGGGAGGGGAGCAGCCTTGAAACAACAGGCCTGCAAGGTGGGAATGGGCTTCGTGGGGTGGCTGCTCCTTGCACAGATGTGACTTTCTTCTGTGGCTACAGTGAGCGAGTTCTGGGTGACGGCACAGAAGACGGAAGCGGCCGAACGCTGCGGGCTGCACGGACGCTACTTGCTGAAGGCCCCCCGGGATGGGCTCCTCCTTGTTGACCCCTGCTCCGGCCGGACCCTCTACTCCTGGCCCTACCGCCTCCTCCGCAGATACGGACGGGACAAGGTGGGCTCCTTGTGGGGATGGAGTTGTGTCTGTGTGTGCGCACGGAGAGAGACGAGGCCAGGTTGGCAAGCACAAACATGTCCAGAGAAGGTAGTCCAAATGATTACGGGTTTGGAAGCCAACCCCTTGGAAGAGCAGGTTAGGGGGCTGGGTAGGTTTGGCTTGGAGAAGAGAAAGCGGAGAGGGGCCAGGTGTAGGACCTTAGGTTTTATATAGCAATATTAAATGATCACTCACAAGCCGGTTTTGCTTGGAAATGAATATATTGCTTGTATCTCTGCAGCAAAGAAAGATACTACTGACTTTTTCCCACCACCACTTCCTTTTATACACCTTTCCTGCCCATCTCCCCCCTCTTCTCAGTTTCCTTATTAGATTGCCCACTCCTCAATGCAACATCCCCTCAACTATTGAACATGGCTATCCTGGTTGAGGGGATGTTGCATTGAGGAGCGGGCAAGTTGCCGAAAGACTAGGGCACTGAGCAATGGCTTCAAACTGCAGGAAGAAATCCCACCTCAACTTCAGAAGGAATCTCATGGCAGTGGAATCCACTCCAGCCTGGGAGTCCATTGGAGTCTCCTTCTCTGGAGGTTTTTCAACAGAGCCTTGGATGGCCATCTGTTGGGAAGGCTTGTGTGTTGTCACGCGCTGGGCCTATAGCAATTGGCTTTTGAACAGGACGTGCTCTTTGTGCCCAGCGGGAAGCCAGGGTGCCTCAGCTGAGAGGCCCTAAGGATTTTCCTATAGAATCATAGAATGAAAAAGTTGGAAGAGACCTCATGGGCCATCCAGTCCAACCCCATTCTGCCAAGAAGCAGGAATATTGCATTCAAAGCCCCGACAGATGGCCATCCAGCCTCTGTTTAAAAGCTTCCAAAGAAGGAGCCTCCACCACACTCTGGGGCAGAGAGTTCCACTGCTGAACGGCTCTCACAGTCAGGAAGTTCTTCCTCATGTTCAGATGGAATCTCCTCTCTTGTAGTTTGAAGCCATTGTTCCCTTGTGTCCTAGTCTCCAGGGAAGCAGAAAGGAAGCTTGCTCCCTCCTCCTCCCTGTGGCTTCCTCTCACATATTTATCCCTGGCCCTCCTCATGTCTCCTCTCAGCCTTCTCTTCTTCAGGCTAAACATGGCCAGATCCTTAAGCCACTCCTCATAGGGCTTGTTCTCCAGACCCTTGATCATTTGAGTCGCCCTCCTCTGGACACATTCCAGCTTGTCAATAGCTCTCTTCAATTGTGGTGCCCAGAATTGGACACAATATTCAACGGGACATCTGTTCAAATATTCAAATATGGCTGACCCAGCTTCCTAAGCTGATCCTGGGCTTTGCTTCCAGATCTTTGACCACTTGGGTGGCCTTTCTCTGGACACCTTCCATCTTGTCCATCTCCTCTTTGAATTGCTTTGTCCAGAACTGGGCACAGGGTTCTTATTCCAGGTAAAGAGGCCTCACCACAACAGAATTGTGTGTCACACACCAGAGCAAAAACATATCTGATCTTAAACACGACACCAGCTTTGTAAAATCAGCTTGTTGTAGAATATATGTGGGCAAAGCAGTAAAAAAATAGCAAAACAGTAAAAGGTCAAAATCGCCCATAAGATTCAAAGGAAAACAAGATCCATGAGTACATAGAAATCCATGAAGCAAAGCACTTGAAACCATGAACTAAAACAGCAGGAAAATCCTATAGGCCAGTGGTTCTCAACCAGGGGGTCGGGACCCCGAGGGGGGTCGTGACGGGGTGTCAGAGGGGTCGCCAAAGACCATCAGAAAGCAGTATTTTCTGTTGGTCATGGGGGTTCTGTGTGGGAAGTGTGGCCCAATTCTATCATTGGTGGGGTTCAGAATATTCTTTAATTGTAGGTGAACTATACATCCCAGCAACTACAACTCCCAAATGTCAAGGTGTATTTCCCCCAAACTCTACTAGTGTTCACATTTGGGCATATTGAGTATTTGTGCCAAGTTTGGTCCAGTTACACGATTGTTTGAGTCCACAGTGCTCTCAGAATGTAGGTGAACTACAACTCCAAAACTCAAGGTCAGTGCCCACCAAACCCTTCCAGGATTTTCTCTTGGTAATGGGAGTTCTGTGTGCCATGTTTGGTTCAATTCCATTGTTGGTGGAGTTCAGAATGCTCTTTGATTTAGGTGAACTGTAAAACCCAGCAACTACAACTCCCAAATGACAAAATCAATCCCCCCCAACCCCATCAGTATTCAAATTTGGGCGTATCAGGTATGTGTACCAAAATTGGTCCAGTGAATGTAAATACATCCTGCATATCAGATATTCATATGACGATACATAACAGTTGCAAAATTACAGTTATGCAGTAGCAATGGAAATAATGTTATGGTTGGGGGTCAACACAACATGAGGAACTGTATTAAGGGGTCGCAGCATTAGGAAGGTTGAGAACCACTGCTATAGGCAAAACGTAGGCTTGGCAAAAACTTGGTACATGAAACTCGGAGCACTTGAAAGCAAGACCGTGATAAAATAACAGCTTTGACTAGACTGAGATGACTCTTTCATATGAATAATTATAAACCTTTTCGAGATCTCAAAACTGAAAGGAAAGCATTCTTCTTGACTTTCCCACCAGATAACGGTTCGTTATCTTTCTTTGGCTGTAGATGAAGTGATCACTTCAGACTCTGAAAGCTCTGCCTCTGTTTACTAAAACTTTGCTTTCTGTCCAAGGTTTCACTATCCTCTTCCTCATTAACTCCTGCACCTGGCAAACCAATCTCAGGTTCATTTTCAGACAGTTGCCCTGAGCAAAGCGGTGAAAGGTCTCTCCCAGGAATGTGGCCTTGTGAATCTTCCTGAGCCAGCTCAGGCCTCTCTTCTGAACTTAATTCAGGCCCAAGCAAGCCCTCATAGAATCATAGAATCAAAGAGTTGGAAGAGACCTCCTGGGCCATCCAGTCCAACCCCATTCTGCCAAGAAGCAGGAATATTGCGTTCAAATCACCCCTGACAGATGACCATCCAGCCTCTGTTTAAAAGCTTCCAAAGAAGGAGCCTCCACCACACTCCGGGCAGAGAGTTCCACTGCTGAACGGCTCTCACAGTCAGGAAGTTCTTCCTCATGTTCAGATGGAATCTCCTCTCTTGTAGTTTGAAGCCATTGTTCCATTGCGTCCTAGTCTCCAGGGAAGCAGAAAACAAGTTTGCTCCCTCCTCCTCCCTGTGGCTTCCTCTCACATATTTATACATGGCTATCATATCTCCTCTCAGCCTTCTCTTCTTCAGGCTAAACATGCCCAGCTCCTTAAGCCGCTCCTCATAGGGCTTGTTCTCCAGACCCTTGATCATTTGAGTCTCCCTCCTCTGGACACATTCCAGCTTGTCAATATCTCTCTTGAATTGTGGTGCCCAGAATTGGACACAATATTCCAGGTGTGGTCTAACCAAGGCGGAATAGAGCATGGGGAGCATTACTTCCCTAGATCTAGACACTATGCTCCTATTGATGCAGGCCAAAATCCCATTGGCTTTTTTTGCCGCCACATCACATTGTTGGCTCATGTTTAACTTGTTGTCCACGAGGACTCCAAGATCTTTTTCACACGTACTGCTCTCGAGCCAGGCGTCCCCCATTCTGTATCTTTGCATTTCATTTTTTCTGCCAAAATGGAGTATCTTGCATTTGTCACTGTTGAACTTCATTTTGTTAGTTTTGGCCCATCTCTCTAATCTGTCAAGATCGTTTTGAATCCTGCTCCTGTCCTCTGGAGTATTGGCTCTCCCTCCCAGTTTGGTGTCGTCTGCAAACTTGATGATCATGCCTTCTAACCCTTCATCTAAGTCATTAATAAAGATGTCCATTAATAAAGAAACCTTTCTGTCCAAGGTTTCACTGTCCTCTTCTTCACTGACTCTGGCACCTGGCAAATCAATCCCAGGTTCATTTTCAGACAGTTGCTCTGAGACAAGCGGTGAAAGGTCTCTCCCAGGAATGTGGCCTTGTGAATCTTCCTCAGCCAGCTCAGGATTCTCTTCTGAACTTAACTCAAGCCCAAGCAAACCCTCATTCAACATGAACATCAGACACAATCACAGGCTGAACAGGCTGACATACAACATTATCTTCTTCCTTCTGCGCAGGTGATGTTCTCCTTTGAGGCGGGCCGGCGCTGCGAGTCAGGTCCTGGCAACTTCACCTTCGAGACGGCTCAGGGCAACGAGATCTTCCGCCTGGTGGAAGCCGCCATCCAGTCACAGAAGGCCCAAGCGGAGGAGAACCGGCGTAGCGCGGCCTCCACGGACTCGGTTGAGGGTCCTTCGGCACTGGGCCACCTCCACTCTGCCTTGGCCGCCTCTCTGAGCCTGGACGGGGAGGGTCAGCGGAGGGAGGGGGGTCTGCCACGGAGCGCCTTAGTGAGTAATACCAGTTCTGTCTCAGTTGCACCAGAGAAGGGCAACGAGGGGTCCAGGACCACCCCAAAGGGACAAGCCTTGAGAGACTCTGCGACCCGCTGCCCACTCCCCAGGCTGCCTGGCCCCCCACTGACTCCCCCCCAGGAAGAGTCCTCCATCGCCAGCGTGTACTCGGAGCCCCTGGACGTGGTGAGGGGTTCCCTCTCTGGGCCGGACCCCTTGTACGCCGACCCCGTGGACAGCCGCGTCCAGCCGCCAAGCCCTGAAGGACGTTTCTACGAGCAGGTGGGGCACAAGGGGCACATCTATGACGAACCCGAGGGGCGGGGGCCGCAACCGCTCCCTGCCCCCAGCGCAACTACCGCCATCTACGATGAGGCCCGTCTCCCCTCCGAAGCGTGGAGGACCCAAGGTTTGGAAAGCCCCGCCGGATATGAGCTGCCCTACCTGCCCGGCACGGGGGAGTACGCCGTGCCCGCCTTCCAGCAGAAGGGCCGGCTCCCCAAGGCCCCCAAGCCTTGCCCCATGGCCAAGCCCCCCCGCGGGCACAGGAGCCCCTCCCAGCCGGGCGGCCCCCAGAAGGAAAGTAACCACAATAACAACAGCAACAACAGTGGTGGCAATGAGCCCAGCGAACCTGTCTACAGCCAGGTGAGGAAGCCCCTCCGTGGGGCCCGGCCTCCCGGGCAGGAGGAGCAGTCGGTGGACAAGAGCCGCCCGGCCTCCGCCGTATACGAGGACCTGGGGGAGATATGACCCCCATTCCCCCCCCTCCCCATTCTCCTGCCTTGTGTTTCCTGCACATGCACAGAGAGCGCTCACAAAGCTATTTTTCTAGAGAGTTTTATTTTGCTATTAAAGTTTTTTTGCCATTTTAGCGATGCCGATTGTGCCAGGGTGGGGGTGCTGGTATTTGGGGTGGGGGCTCAATGCAAAGGCTTGGTGGGGAGGCAAGTGGGAAGAGGCAAGTGGGGTTGGGCTGTGTGGGGATGCATGTTCTCCCTCCCGAAGAGCAGACACCCCCATATGTGGGGAGTTGGGAGGAAAAGGGTCTTTGCAAAGGCCTCTTCCTGCTTGAGATGGGCGAGAACCTGTGTGGGGATGCGTGTTCTCCCTCCCCAAGAGCAGGCACCCCCATATGTGGGGAGTTGGGAGGAAAAGGGTCTTGCAAAGACCTCTTTCTGCTTGAGATGGGCGAGAACTGGCTGCAAACCCCCCTCCCTCTCTGCAAATGCCTGTCTCCCAGTTCGTGCCATCTTCAGCACTTCCTCCCTCATGTCAGCTGAAGAGGAAGTAGGGCTGGTGGGAGGGAGAGCTGCTTCCTCTTTGAGAGCTTGCAACAGCAGTGCGTGGGTGGGAGAGAAAGGAAGGCTGAGTGAGAAGTGGGGGGGGGGGGGCAATGACAGCCTGCTGCTGCACTTTTGTAGAGGGAGGGGCTGGTAGGGGGGTTGGAAATAGTCCCCCTCCCCACACCGAACCCTGAAGCCCCTTCCCCATTTAGAATGGGAATTCCCCAGGAAGGAGGAAAGAAAATAATAATAATAATAATAATAATAATAATAATAATAATAAGTCCTCCCCACACCGAACCCTGAAGCCCCCTCCCCATTTAGAGGGGGAATTCCCCAGGAAGGAGGAAAGAATAATAATAATAATAATAATAATAATAATAATAATAATAATAAGTCCTCCCCACACCGAACCCTGAAGCCCCTTCCCCATTTAGAATGGGAATTCCCCAGGAAGGAGGAAAGAAAATAATAATAATAATAATAATAAGTCCTCCCCACAAGACAATAATAATAATAATAATAATAATAATAATAATAATAATCTTTATTTATACCCCACCACCATCTCCCCGATGGGGACTCGGGACGGCTTACATGAGGCCGAGCCCAAACAACAAATTACAACAGAGTTAAAACCGAAAATGCAAACCGAAAACACAAACAATAAACAGCAACATCATAATTATATAAAACATGTGAATACATAACAATATAAAAATTACAATAAGCACAATCACAGTGACAATGGGCACTAAGGGCACAGTGACAATAAGCACAGTGACAATAAGCACAATCACAGTGACTAATGGGCAATAAGCACAATCACAGTGACTAATGGGCAATAAGCACAATCAACGTGACTAATGGGCAATAAGCACAATCACAGTGACAATGGGCAATAAGCACAATCAACGTGACTAATGGGCAATAAGCACAATCACAGTGACTAATGGGCAATAAGCACAATCACAGTGACAATGGGCAATAAGCACAATCACAGTGACTAATGGGCAATAAGCACAATCACAGTGACTAATGGGCAATAAGCACAATCAACGTGACTAATGGGCAGTAAGCACAATCACAGTGACAATGGGCAGTAAGCACAATCACAGTGACAATGGGCAATAAGCACAATCACAGTGACAATGGGCAATAAGCACAATCACAGTGACTAATGGGCAATAAGCACAATCACAGTGACTAATGGGCAATAAGCACAATCAACGTGACTAATGGGCAGTAAGCACAATCACAGTGACAATGGGCAATAAGCACAATCACAGTGACAATGGGCAATAAGCACAATCACAGTGACTAATGGGCAATAAGCACAATCACAGTGACTAATGGGCAATAAGCACAATCAACGTGACTAATGGGCAGTAAGCACAATCACAGTGACAATGGGCAGTAAGCACAATCACAGTGACAATGGGCAATAAGCACAATCACAGTGACTAATGGGCAATAAGCACAATCACAGTGACTAATGGGCAATAAGCACAATCAACGTGACTAATGGGCAGTAAGCACAATCACAGTGACAATGGGCAGTAAGCACAATCACAGTGACAATGGGCAATAAGCACAATCACAGTGACTAATGGGCAATAAGCACAATCACAGTGACTAATGGGCAATAAGCACAATCAACGTGACTAATGGGCAGTAAGCACAATCACAGTGACAATGGGCAATAAGCACAATCACAGTGAGAATGGGCAATAAGCACAATCACAGTGACTAATGGGCAATAAGCACAATCACAGTGACAATAATCATTACCCTACCTGTAATGATTAAAAGAAAAACTAATTATCTCGGGTGAGATAAAGGAGAAGCAGGTTATTTGCGGAGGAGGGAAAACAAACTAGTTTTTTGGGGGGTGGGGGTTGAGGCACTTGTGTCAATGGTGCTGCTGAGTGGTCAAGGGGAGACCCCCATGCCTTGCCCCCCTGCCTTGCTGGATTCAGGCAATTGACCAGGGATGCAGGGGCCTACTTTTGGAGTGGGCCCCTTCCTGGGCTTGGCTGCTCTTCCTCTTAAATGGCATCTGGGAACTCATCCTCTTCGCTGGAGAACAGGGAGAGCGCTGCCCGGTTGGTTCTGGGGGACGGGGCCAGGCGTAGGGGGGCCACCGTGGCTCGGGCCCTGCTGGGGTGACGTTGGCCGGCGTGCTGCGGAAAGCAGAGAACGGGGCTGGAGTTGCATGCAGACTGTTGCAGTCACTGGGAACTACTGGGTGCAGATGCCAATGCGTCCCCCCCCTCCCCACTCCATTCCCTATCCTACCTGGCGAGGCAGGTGTCGCTCAACGGGGCGCGGAGTTGGGCGGTGGGCCAGCGGTTGGGCCAGGCGGGCCCGCAGTGCCTGGTACAGGTGGGTCTCCAGGCTCAGGGGGTCGAAGGCTGGCTCCACGTCGAGGCACTCCAGGATGCTCTGAGGAAGGGACAGGTAGAAGGTGTATTTTGCTTCCAAGCAGTGGTTCCCAACCTGTGGGGTCCCCAGGTGTTTTGGCCTACAGTTCCCAGAAATCTCAGCTGTTCGAAGGCCAAAATATCTGTGGACGCACAGGTTGAGAATCATGGAATCAAAGAGTTGGAAGAGACCTCCTGGGCCATCATCCAGTCCAACCCCATTCTGCCAAGAAGCAGGAATATTGCATTCAAATCACCCCTGACAGATGGCCACCCAGCCTCTGTTTCAAAGCTTCCAAAGAAGGAGCCTCCACCACACTCTGGGGCAGAGAGTTCCACTGCTGAACGGCTCTCACAGTCAGGAAGTTCTTCCTCATGTTCAGAACCACTGCTTCAGTGCAAAGTAACTTGGAGGGTGGGGGGCAATCCCAATGTACCTCCCTCCCCCCAATCCCCTGGTCAGTCACTTGGCTTCCACTAAGGAAGGGGCAAGGTGTAGAGGGGCTCCCCTGCCCACCCACTCACAGCCCCAGTTGGAAGAGACCTCATGGGCCATCCAGTCCAACCCCCTGGCAAGAAGCTGGAAAATTGCATTCAAAGCACCCCCGACAGATGGTCATCCAGCCTCTGTTTCAAAACCCCCAAAGAAGGAGCCTCCACCACACTCTGGGGCAGAGAGTTCCACTGCTGAACAGCTCTCACCTTCCTCCCACCATGAGTATCCCATTGGACCCCCAAGAAGCAGAAGAGGGTACAATTCATTGCAGAGGAGGGGGGCCAATGGGATTCACGACCACTTGCAGAGGCCTTGGATTCCCCTAGAAGGGCTTCAGTAGCCCTCGGAGCCCTGACTGAGCTCCTGCACTCTTCTTAAGTGCAGAGGACTCTCTCCAGACATCCTTGGACCCCTCCTCAGTGCAAAGGGAGTGCGTGCCTTGAGGAGCCTGGTCCAGGAGCACCCCCTCCCAGCCCCCCTATGTTCTGGCCACTTGCCTCCATGTCCCTGAGCGCTGTATCTGGGGGGTCCATGGGGGGAGCGTGGAAAGAGCCCGGCAGGAGGAGTTCTCTGGGGGCCACGGAGCGCAGGAGGAGGGAGGAGCAGGAGGCTGCGGGCAGAAGGGCCCACAGGGAGGCAATGGGGGCAGCGGTGGGGGGCTCTCTGCGGGGGACGGGCCCCTCCTGTGGTTCATACTGGGCCAGAAGAAGCCATTCTCTGCTCTGGAAGAAAAATGGGGGTGGGGGGTCAAAACAGCAGAAGCCCCACTTGTTCTTTGGTGAACAAGCCCCCCCCCCCCCAATTCCATAAGGGAGGCCTTCTCAAAGTGCGGCCCTCCAGCTATTAGGGCAGGCACCGGCCAACTCCTTAGGAGACTTTTCTTTATAGCAAAATAATATAGTTGTACTATTTACAAGGTTTCCATGACACAAATAAAGTTCAACCTTCACACTGGAGCTTCACACACTGTGAGGCCTTCTCATACCAAGGCTTACCTCACACACAGGCTTCTCTCACAGACTAAGGCCTACCTCACATAGTGAGGCCTTCTCTCACAGACTAAGGCATACCTCACACTGAGGCCTTTTCTCACAGACTAAGTCTTATCTGTGAGGCCTGCTTCTCACAGACTAAGGCCTACTTCACATGGTGAGGCCTTCTCTCAGACTAAGGCCTACCTCACACTGTGAGGCCTTCTCTACAGAAAAAGACCTACTTCACTCTGTGAGGCCTTCTGTCACAGACTAAGGCCTACCTCACACTGAGGCCTTCTCTCACTGACTAAGGCCTACCTCACATGGTGAGGCCTTCTCTCACAGACTAAAGCCTACCTCACACTGTGAAGCCTTCTCTTACAGACTAAGGCCTACCTCACACTGTGAGGCTGCCTCTCACAGACTAAGACCTACCTCACATTGTGAGGCCTTCTCTCACAGACTAAGGCCTACCTCACACGGTGAGGCCTTCTCTCACAGACTAAGGCCTACCTCACACTGTGAAGCCTCTTACAGACTGAGACCTACCTCACATTGTGAGGCCTTCTCTCACAGACTAAGGCCTACCTCACACGGTGAGGCCTTCTCTCATAGATTAAGGCCTACCTCACACTGAGGCCTTTTCTCACAAAGACCTACTTCACACTGTGAGGCCTCTCACAGACTAAGGCCTACCTCATACGGTGAGGCCTTCTCTTGCAGATTAAGACCTACCTCACACTGTGAGGCCTTCTCTCACAGACTAAGGCCTACCTCATACGGTGAGGCCTTCTCTTGCAGATTAAGGCCTACCTCACACTGTGAGGCCTTCTCTCACAGACTAAGGCCTACCTCACACCTGCAAGGCATTCTCACACTCTAAGACTTTTCTCCCATTGAGGCTAACTAACACAGAGGCCTACTAAGCTACAGGCACACCTGCTTATATAGAACTGCAGCTTTTGCTGAGTCAGTCTGTCCATTTAGCCCTTTCAGTGCTTGACACACATTTTTGGTGTTAAAAATACCTAGCTAATATTGTATATTTCTGACAGGGCCAGCTTTGTCCCTCCAGGTGTTTTGGATTTCAATTCCCACAATTCCAAACAGACAGTGTACTGTTAGGAATTGCGGGAGTGAAAGTCCAAAATACCTGGGGTGCTGAAGCTGACCCATGCCTATGTCTAGCCAGTTGGAGGGCTGCAGTTGGAGGATGCCTGCCATTGAGACTCCCTGCTACATCCATGCTGTATCTCCCTTGGGCTCCTCACCCGCAAGCCACAGCAGAGGGCCTGGAAACGGTGCTGGTTGGCTTCCAGTTCGTCCCAGTTCAGCTTCCAGCAACTTGTGGGCCGGACGACCAGAGGGAGCCCGAAGAGGACGGAGGCACACAGACCCTCTGCTTTGAGCGCCCTGCAGGCACAAGACCAGTGACAAGGGGGAAGGGGGCTCATGTCAGACCTCCAGAGAGACCCAATTTTGTTTGCTGTAGACTATTTTGGACACCTGGAAGAGACCTGCACCCTGTCTCTCCATGCAGGTGTGTCAATGGAGTTTCTCCTCATGGCACATGAAGCAGCCCACAAACCCCAGCCTTGGGCTTTTGGTGCATCGGGCAGATCTTGTCCCTAGGTATGACAACAGAAGCCAGCTGGTCAGAGAACCTATGAGTTGGGTCATGGGGGCACAGTCCTGGCCTCCAAGAACCCCTTTGACTCGGCTCCTTTCCATAGAGGCCCAGAAAAGCAAACCAGGAAAGAGATGGGAGTCTTCAAAGTGGGTTGTTGTAGGTTTTTTTGGGGCTATATGGCCATGTTCTAGAGGCATTCTCTCCTGATGTTTCGCCTGTATCTATGGCAAGCATCCTCAGAAGTAGTGAGGATGCTTGCCATAGATGCAGGCGAAACGTCAGGAGAGAATGCCTCTAGAGAACATGGCCATATAGCCCCAAAAAACCTACAACAACCCATTGATTCTGGCCATGAAAGCCTTCGACAATACATAGCCTTCAAAGTGTCTCTTCCTCCAGTCTCTCTGAGATGGGGCTTCTAGGTTGGCCAACCTGGCCTTCAGAAGACCTGCCCCCAGAGAGAAGTACCTGAGGACCCTGAGCCGTCGCGGAGCCAAGCCTGGTCTGAGGTCCATCCAGAAGCAGCTGGTGGTGGCATTGCTGGCTCTTGCCTGGTCTTCTCTGGGACCCAGCGGTGGAAGCAGAGCCGGGCTGAGGAGCCGCTCCTGGACATCACACTTCAGACATGCTGCAAGGGGCAAGGGGAGAGATATGAGGGGCTCACAGACAAGGAAGGAAGAGGCTGCCTCTTTGAATACCTAGAGCAGCCAGGCCCTCCTCCAGGTGTTTGGGACTTCAACTCCCAAACACCTGGAGGAGGGCCGCAATTTGCCCATGCCTGGCCTAGAAGGAAGGGCCAGGCCTCTCCATTAGCAAGCCCCATGCTCCTCTAGAGCTGCACACAGGTGAGAGTCCAGAAACTACAGCTGTGTTTCACTTGTGTGTGCGTGGAATCCTAGACTCCCAGAGCCCAAGGAGACCACAAGGGCTGCCCAATCTTCTTCCAGGCAGGAAGACATAACTACAATCCAACTGTTAAAGAGACTCTGAAGGGAGTCCTTCCCAAACTGGCTGGCCAGCTTGCTCAACCAAGGCTGTGCTAATGGGTCTAGGTGGGTTCCCCAATAGGTTTAGCCCTCTCCACCAAAGTCAACATTGACACTGAAATACAACACCGCCTGAGCTCTGCAAAGTGCAGCATTCCTCCGAATTAAGCAGAGAGTGTTTGAGGACCGGGACATCCGTAGGAAGACCAAGGTGCTTGTTTATAAAGCTACTGTCCTCCCAACCCTGCTCTACGCCTGCGAGACGTGGACTGTCTACAAATGTCACATGCAATTCCTGGAACGATTCCATCAGCGCAGGGTGGAGGAGAAGGAAGGAGGGAAGGAGAAAGAGGGGGAAGGAGGAGGAAAGGGAAGGAAGGACAAAAGAGTGGAAGGGAAGGAAGGGGAAGGAGAAAGGAAGGAAGGAGAAGGGAAGAGGGAAGGAGGAGGAAAAGGAGGAAGGAGGGAGAGAGGAAGGAGGGAGGAGAAAGAGGAGGGAGAGGAGGAGAAAGAGGGGAAGGAAGAAGAGAAGGAATGACGAAAGGGTAGGAAGGAAGGAGAAAGGAAGAGGAAGGAAGGAAGGAAGGAAGGAGAGGAAAAAGGAAGAAAAGGAGAAAGAGGGAGAGAGGGAGAAAGAAGAAGGAAGGACAAAAAGGGAGGAGAAGGAAGGGAAGGAAGAAGAGGGAGAGAGGGAAGGAGGGAGGAAGGAGGAAGGAAAAGAGAGGAAAAGGGAGGGGAGAAGGGAGGAAGGACGGAAGGAAGGACAGAAGGAAGGACAGAAGGAAGGATGGAAGGAAGGAGGGAAGGAAGGAAGGAAAGAAGGAAGGACAGAAGGAAAGAAAGAAGGAAGGAGGGAAGGGCGGAGGAAGGAACGAAGGACAGAAGGAAGAAAGGAAGGATGGACAGAAGGTAGGAAGGAGGAAGGGAGGAAAGGGGAGGAAGGAAAGGGGGGAAAGGGAAGGAAGGGGGAAGGAGAAAAGAAGGAAGGAAGGAAGGAAAAGAGGAAGGAAGGATGGAGGGAAGGAGAAAAATGGAAGAAGGAAGGAAGCAAGAGGGAGAGAGGGAAGGAGGGAGGAAAGAGAAGGAAGGAAGGACAAAAGGGTGGAAGAGAAGGAAGGAGGGAAGGAGAAAAGGGAGGTAAAGAAGGAAGGGAAGGATGGAAAGAGGAAGGAAAGACCAGGAAGGACAAAAGGGTGAAAGGGAAGGAGGGATGGAAAAAGAAAGAGGGAAGTAAGGAAAGAAGGGAGGAAGGGAAGGAGGGATAAGATGATGAGAGAGAGGAGGGCCTGAGAAAAGAGCCCCAGGGGCCACATCCAGCCCCCAGGCCTGTGTTCCCCATACTTGGTTCTCCCATTGTGTCACCAGGGGCTCCTATCGAGGCAGGTAAAGAGCCCTCAGAGGGTTGTGGGCGAGGAGACTCTACCTTTGCCCCACAATTGGCACCTCCAAACAAGGAGGGGCCCTTACCTAGATTGTTCTGTGGGCCAGCAGTGTGGCCAAGGGGTGCTTTGGGCAGGAGGAGGTGGAGGTGCTCCTGGTCAGTGCCGTGACCTTGGAGCCAGGCCTTGAAGATGCCCTCCAGTGCCACCACCTCGTTCTCCACCACCTGGAGGTCCACCTCTGGGCCCAGGAGGGGGGCAGCGGCTTCTGCAAGGGAGTTAGAGAGAGGAAGGGGACACATCTGGGTCACAGAGTTAGGCTATCAGAGATGCCATGACCTTGGAGCCAGGCCTTGAAGACGCCTTCCAGTGCCACCACCTCGTTCTCCACCACCTGGAGGTCCACCTCTGGGCCCAGGAGGGGGGCAGCGGCTTCTGCAAGGGAGTTAGAGAGAGGAAGGGGACACATCTGGGTCACAGAGTTAGGCTATCAGAGATGCCATGACCTTGGAGCCAGGCCTTGAAGACGCCTTCCAGTGCCACCACCTCGTTCTCCACCACCTGGAGGTCCACCTCTGGGCCCAGGAGGGGGGCAGCGGCTTCTGCAAGGGAGTTAGAGAGAGGAAGGGGACACATCTGGGTCACAGAGTTAGGCTATCAGAGATGCCATGACCTTGGAGCCAGGCCTTGAAGACGCCTTCCAGTGCCACCACCTCGTTCTCCACCACCTGGAGGTCCACCTCTGGGCCCAGGAGGGGGGCAGCGGCTTCTGCAAGGGAGTTAGAGAGAGGAAGGGGACACATCTGGGTCACAGAGTTAGGCTATCAGAGATGCCATGACCTTGGAGCCAGGCCTTGAAGACGCCTTCCAGTGCCACCACCTCGTTCTCCACCACCTGGAGGTCCACCTCTGGGCCCAGGAGGGGGGCAGCGGCTTCTGCAAGGGAGTTAGAGAGAGGAAGGGGACACATCTGGGTCACAGAGTTAGGCTATCAGAGATGCCATGACCTTGGAGCCAGGCCTTGAAGACGCCTTCCAGTGCCACCACCTCGTTCTCCACCACCTGGAAGTCCACCTCTGGGCCCAGGAGGGGGGCAGCAGTTTCTGCAAGGGAGTTAGAGAGAGGAAGGAGACACATCTGGGTCACAGAGATGGGTGGGGGCAAGCCTTGATGTGGACGGCTCTTTCGGCACATGTACCCCCCCCCCCTTCCCTCCAGCTCAGGCTCATCTGCCTATCGGTGAGGATTAGGTCCTCCTAAACCTCTTAGATTAAATTTGGGAGGGAGGGATGGATGGAAGGAAGGCAGGCAGGGGAATGAGGCAGCCTTGTGGGCCCAGCTGGCTAGCAACAGAGAAGCGCACCAGTCGCAGGACTGGGAGGAGCAGGAGGGGGGCTAATCTGGATGAGCAGAGGGAGGGATCAAGTGCCGATGAGCCCCCCCATGAGGCTCCGGATTAGGAGCAGCCATCTGTCTTGGCTCAAACAGTCCAGAACAAAGAGAAGAGAAGGGTGGACAGCCAGCCAGTCAGCTAGCCGTGGCTCCTCTGCCCAGCAGGTGGCACCAGCCTTGCCTTCGCCACCCTCCCACAGGCCTGGAGAATGAGGCCGAAGAAGGCTGGACGCTTGCCCAGTAGGAGTGGTGCAGCATTGATAGTCCCAGGACATTCCGTGGGAAAACAGCTGCTTTTCGAACTCTGTGTCCAAACAGGCATGGGCAAACTTTGGCCCTCCTCCAGGTGTTTTGGACTTCAACTCCCACAATTCCTAACAGCCGGTAGGCTGTTAGGAATTGTGGGAGTTGAAGTCCAAAACACCTGGAGGAGGGCCAAAGTTTGCCCGTGCCTGGGTTAAAGCATTGCACTTTAGCTTTGAGGAAATGCATCTAGAAGCCTTTGCTTCCAAGGAAGGAATCTGGGGTGGATACGCATTGCAGGTGGCCACTCACCCTCTTCCAAGAGGCTCTCGCTGTGGCCACTACTTCCTCCACCAGTCTCCAGCCATGGCTCCTCCTGCAGCCCTCCTGGGGCAACCTCCACCACCTGCAGCTGGCGCAGACTGACCAGGTCAATGCCCTGGAGGCCAGCTTCCAGCTGACGGGCCACTTCTGTGCTGGGTCGGCTGGTTAGGATGGTAATCTGGAAGAGAAGGAGAGGTCCTGTTGCCACTGGACAGTGACACCAATGGGGCCTGGGCTCCCATCTATGCCAGGCTGGGGGCAAAAGGATAGGCATCTTGGTCAGTGTCTAGCCTGCTTTGGCTTATTCCCAACCATCTGTAGCACTGTTTGGCCATTGAGTACACAGAAGACAGCCTGGATGCAGGGGGGACTGTGCTGTCACGCCTGGGGGCTATAGCTCTTAGTGCCGGGATGGTGAACCTATGACACGCACGTCAGCACTGACACGCATGGCTATTTTTTATGACAAGCGGCCACATGCGGCCGCACACAGAGAAGTACACCTTATAAGAGCCAATCCAATTCCATCTTTAAATTTGTAAAAGGCTCTACAAATTTAACATCTGCACATTTGAGCATTGTTCACTCCATAACTCAGCATGGAATATACATTTTTCTTATTTAAACTATAAATATTGCAAAATTATGGGTTTTTTTTCTTGAAGTTGACACCCCACCCAAGTTATGCTCAGGTTTTTGGCAAATTTTGACACACCAAGCTCAAAAGGTTGCCCATCACGGTCTTAGTGAAAGAGGCATGGACGTGACATCTTTCCCCAGGGGATTGCTTCTTGCCCTCCTTTAGGAAACTGGAACTCCCAAAGACCCAAAACACTGTAAAATAACTCAAAATAAGTTTTATTGATCACAAAGTTATTTCTTTAAAGCAATGAGCTGGAAAACTTCAGAGGGGTGAAGGAAAATATACGTTACAGTCTCAGTTAGTCCTGGATCCAAGGAGTTTGAAGCTGAATAGCTTTTCCAAGTTTCCTCTTTCCTCAATGGCTGTGAATGCCAGAGCAAACCACAACCCCAGTTCAAATGGCCTATGTTTGAAGACTCAGGATCTTCCTCTGATGCCAAAAGAACCGGTTTGAAGGCGCTTGAGACTTCCAATGTCGTTCAGGTTGGTCTGAACATGAAGCATAAGTCTCAAGGATAAAAAATCTCAGAATTGGTGCTGAGAGGTAATTTAATCAGGGTCTTTTAGAGTCAAGTCTCTTACTCACGTCCATCTGATAGAAACTCTGATGGCAGAATGAAAAAGGAAGCACTCCCCTCCTCCAGGAAGAGGTGGAGCCAAACAATTGAGCTTGAGAAAGCAATTCAACTGGTGCAAACAACACTGATTGACAGCTATAAATAACCAATCAATCCAACTATACATAAGCAGGGTAAAAAGGCAGGATTAAGCATGATACAACAGTTTAAATCTTGCAACTAATAGTTCTACACATAGTTGGCGCCACTTGCGCCGTCACAGGGACCCTGGTTCAAATCCTTCTCTGTGCCTTGGTGTGTTAGTAGACCTCAGTATGAGGCCACAGTGTTACTACATCTCAGTGTGAGAAAGGTCTCACTCTGAGACAACCTTCAGTGTGAGAAGGCCTCAGTGGAGAAAGGCCTCAGTATGAGGTAGGCCTCAGCATGAGAAACCCTGGGTTGAAGGCCATCATGTGTGAAGGCTGCTGTGTGTAAAGCTACTGTGTGAAGCTCCTGTGTAACTTTGGTGTGAGAACAGGCTCTGTGGGAGTGAAGCTGTTTACCTAAATGAGAAAGAAGCCCAGCGTAGAAGCAAAGAAGGAAGTATAAAGAACTTTATTTGTGTCATGGAAACCTTGTTGTTGTAAATAGTGAAACCATATTATTTTGCTATAAAGAAAAGCCTCCTCTGGAAGAGATAATAACATTGGTCAGTGTGTTTTTGTTCTTTTTATCACTTTGGGCTACTAGTGCTGGGTCACGCTGTCGATAAGTCACTCATGAGGAGGGTCTTTTTTTTAATAAGTCCACTCACCCAACACTGTTTTCTTTCTCTGTGGATGACAAACACACCTGAACCTCTGGCTGGAAATTACAAATGCAAACAGCCCAAAGTGTCCACACTCTGAAGTCTCAGGTGGATCCCAGGAAGGCTTCTGTCTGTGTCCAGGTCCCGTGCATACAACCCACTCCTTTCTCCTCAGCCCCACTTTTTGTGAGTGGAAGTAGGTATCGAGGGACCCCCCCCCCTCCTTACCTCAATGGCGCAGCTGCTGAGTGGGGCACCGGCCATCCCTCTCCCGGTGTACTGCTTGAACTGCTGGAGCCCGTCCCGAATGGCCTGCACCATGGCAGCATCCTCCCCAGGGCGGAAAGCCCCCTCGGCCGCCATGGCACGTAGCTCTGCAAAACAGCTCTGGAGCCGGGCAAAGCCTCCTTTCACCGGCTGCAGAAGAGGAAGGGAGAGGGGTCACAAGAGGGATTTGGAGACCCACTTGGTGGGAGAGGAGGAGGACCAGAAGCCCAGCCAATGCCAGTCTAGGCTGCATTAAGAGAAGTCTAGTATCTGGACAAGGCATGGGCAAATTTTGGCCCTCCCTCCAGGTGTTTTGGACTTCAACTCCCACAATTCCTAACAGCCTCAGGCCCTTTCCTTTCCCCCCTCAGCTGCTTAAGTTATAGGGAGGAAGGAGCAAGCTTGTTTTCTGCTTCCCTGGAGACTAGGACACAATGGAGCAATGGCTTCAAACTACAATAAAGAAAGGAGATTCCACCTGAACATGAGGAAGAACTTCCTGACTGTGAGAGAGAGCTGTTCAGCAGTGGAACTCTCTGCTGCAGAGTGTGGTGGAGGCTCCTTTGTTGGAGGCTTTCAAGCAGAGGCTGGACCCAACTCTAGGTCCAGCTTTAGAATTCTATGAAAGCCCATAATCTGGGATCAAATCCTGGGATAAAGGACAGTGGGGAAGGGCCCTAAGACTCCTAGATCCCTTTCAATAGGGATTGCTTTCATGCCAGGTGTCATCCATCCTATATCTTGGCATTGATGATTCTATGATTAGGGACTCTAAACTGGAAGACTCAAAGGATCCAGGGTCTGGAGTATAAGCCCTGTGAGGACAGAATGGCTTCAAGAGCTGTTGGGTATGTTTAGCCTGCAGAAGACTGAGAGGAGACAATAATAATAATAATAATAATAATAATAATAATAATAATAATAATAATAATAATAAACAACAAACCAGTACAGGTGGTCCCAGTGGTGATAGGCGCACTGGGTGCCGTGCCAAAAGATCTCAGCCGGCATTTGGAAACAATAAACATCAACAGAATCCCGATCTGTCAACTGCAAAAGGCCTCCTGACTTGGATCTGCACGCATCATTCGAAAATACATCACACAGTCCTAGACGCTTGGGAAGGGTTTGACTTGTGATTTTGTGATACGAAACCCAGCATATAGACCTCGTTTGCGGTGACATACTGTGCTTTTGTGTCAATAATAATAATAATAATAATAATAAACTTTATTTGTACCCCGCCACCATCTCCCTCAATGGGGACTCGGAGCGGCTTACATGAGGCCAAGCCCAAACAAGAAATTACAATAAAATAAAATACAAATTACAATAAAATAAACAACGTCACATTAAATTACAATAAAATAAACAACGTCACATTAAATTACAATAAAATAAACAACATCGTATTAAGTCCTTAGAAGCACTTTATTTATGGTTTGTGCAATTGAATCCTCCCCCATTTTCAGATCCTCATCCTGATAATTTATATTGTCCTATCTCCCAGTGTTTTTAAATTTTTAGTTTTGAATGTGGACAGAATGGCTGTCCAGTGAAATTTTCTGTTTTTAATTGCTTGTTTTATATTGTCTGTGTCATTTATTTTATTATAGGTACAAAACATATAAGCATATTAAAAAATATACACAAAACATAAAAAATCAGTAAACCAAACATAATGACAGTGAGCGGGCCACGTGGACATAAAATGATTTAAAAACTCAGGGTGAGCTAGAGAAGCAGAATTACTTGCAAGGAAGAATTCGTAGAGAGACAGGGTAATAACAGACAGACCTTCGTACAAGGGGGGTGTACTCCTAGGACAAGAACGTTGAGGGGAGCAATAGCATAAGATTATGTGACCACTCTCTAAAAGCGCAACGGCAGAGCCAGCTCTTGAGGTTCTTTTTAAAGGTTTCTAAGGTAGGGGTTTTCCTAATCTCTCCGGCCAATGAGTTCCAGAGTCTGGGGGCCACAGAGGAGAAGGCTCTCTCCCTTGTACCCACAAGGCAAGCCTGAGAAACTGGAAGGCCCAAGGAGGGCCTCCCCCGAAGATCGAAGAGTTCGGGCTGGTTAATAGAGAGAGATACAATCATGAATAAGGGCCATGCATGAAGATGTGAGGCTGGGGAAGTTCTAGGGAGGAGGCAGCAAGCTTGTTTTCTGCTGCCCTGGAGACAGGGGTGCAATGGAGCAATGGCTTCAAACTACAAGAAAGAAAGGAGATTCCACCTGAACATGAGGAAGAACTTCCTGACTGTGAGAGAGAGCTGTTCAGCAGTAGACTTGGCCACGGTAATCCATGCTCTGGTTACATCCCGCATAGACTACTGCAACGCTCTCTACGTGGGGTTGCCTTTGAAGACTGCTCGGAAGCTTCAACTAGTCCAGCGCTCGGCAGCCAGGTTGCTAATAGGAGCGGCACGCAGGGAGCATATAACCCCCCTGTTGCGCCAACTCCACTGGCTACCGATCTGCTACCGGGCTGAATTCAAAGTGCTGGCGTTGGCCTTTAAAGCCCTAAACGGTTCCGGCCCAAGCTACCTATCTGACCGCATCTCTGCCTATGAACCCACCAGGAGTTTGAGATCTTCCAGGGAGACCCTGCTCTCGATCCCGCCTGCTTCTCAAGCTCGGCTGGCGGGGACGAGAGATAGGGCCTTCTCGGTGGTGGCTCCTCGGCTGTGGAACGCCCTTCCTACGGACATTAGACTAGCACCATCTCTAATGGTATTCCGCAAAAAGGTGAAGACCTGGATGTTTGTGCAGGCGTTTGAGTAATTTAGTGCCATCTGGTAATGGAACATAGGAATGGAACAATGGACGACGAACCTGGACTACGCTTGGATGATGAGAAGATTGGGTACGGTTGTTTTTTGTAATAATTGTGCATTGTAATTGCTTATTGGTAATTTATGGATAATGTGTTAAGTCAATTGTTATATGTTGTATGGAACCACTGCTGTTTCTACTGTTTTTACTGTTTGTGAACCGCCGTGAATCGCCTTCGGGCTTGAGATACAGCGGTATATAAGCAAAGTAAATAAATAAATAAATAAATAGAACTCTCTGCTGCAGAGTGTGGTGGAGGCTCCTTTGTTGGAGGCTTTCAAGCAGAGGCTGGATGGCCATCTGTTGGGGGTGCTTTGAATGCGATTTTCCTGCTTCTTGACAAAAAGGAGTTGGACTGGATGGCCCACCAGGTCTCTTCCAACTCTAGGATTCCAAGAATACAGAAAACCACAACTGTATTACCAATACAGGCTGACCTTTGAATTACTAATTGGCATATTTGCTAGGGGCCACATATGACTCACTTCGATGGGCTTGGAGTACGAGCCAACCTAAGACACCACACTGTCCCTGACGCAGAGCCTAGAGGGGATCCGTGCATCAGGAGGCACGAAAGCCAGCAAAACCACCCTCCTATCCACAGCTCTTGAAACAGACAAAACAACCTAGAAACACCTTATTTTTAGAGCCGCCCAAATCTGCTGCCTGAGGGCTGGGCTGGTGCTGTCACTAAGAATGCATGGCTGCAGCAACACCTGGGCACTGCACCTTGAAGCGAGAAAAAGAAGGGCGGGCCTCTCTTGCAGAACGGTCCAGTCCCCCAGGACCTTCTGCTTCATTCCAGCCGCACCATTTGCTGGCCAGCAGCCTTTGAGGAAGACATTAAGTTCCTGGGTTGCTGTGAGTTTTCTGTTCCAGAAGCATTGTCTCCTGACATTTCACCTCTCTCTCTCTCTCTCTCTCTCTCTCTCTCTCTCTATATATATATATATATATATATATAGCAGGCATCCTCATAGGTTGAGAGGATTGCCTCAACTTCTGAGGATGCCTGCCACAGATGTGGGTGAAATGTCAGGAGAGAATGCTTCCGGAACATGGCCAGACAGCCTGGAAAACTCACAGCAATCCAGTGATTCATAGAACCATACAATCATAGAGTTGGAAGAGACTTCACGGGTCAACCAGCCCAACCCCCTGTGAAGAAGCAGGAAAATCGCATTCAAAGCACCCCCGACAGATGGCCATCCAGCCTCTGTTTGAATGCCTCCATAGAAGGAGCCTCCACCATACTCTGGGGCAGAGAGTTCCACTGCTGAACGGCTCTCACAGTCAGGAAGTCGTCGAAGGCTTTCATGGCTGGAATCACTAAGTTCTTGTGGGTTTTTTCGGGCTATATGGAAATCCTCAGTTGGAAAATACCCTTATCAAAAGACACTATTTGCATGGACAATAACAAAGGATCATGACCTCTGGCCACGGAGTTGGCCCCCCAGAGGAAGCGGTCACTTGGCATTTTGATCATATCTCAATAGGACAGAGGAGGCCTTCGGAAAGCCGCACGCCGTCCTAATCTGTCACCCATTCAACTTTTTTTCTCATCGAAAATTCCACCAAAGTTCCCCCATTGTTCCTATGTCTCAGCACTGGAAAAATCCGGATTCAATGTTTATTGCCTCTAGAACATGGCCATATAGCCCGAAAAAACCCACAAGAACTTAGTCAGGAAGTCCTTCCTCATATTCAGGTGGCATCTCCTTTCCTGTAGTTTGAAGCCATGGTTCCATTGCGTCCTAGTTTCCAGGGCAGCTGAAAACAAGCTTGCTCCCTTCTCCCTAGGACTTCCTCTCACACTTCCTCTCTGCTGCTGAGTATGCATGCCCAGTGTGGAACACATCTCACCACACTAAAACAGTGGATGTGGCTCTTAATGAGACATGCCGCATTATCATGGGGTGTCTGCGCCCTACACCACTGGAGAAACTACACTGTCTAGCCGGTATTGCACCACCTGACATCTGCCGGGAAGTAGCAGCCAATAGCAAAAGGACCAAGGCAGAGACATCTCCAGCTCATCCCCTGTTTGGGTATCAGCCAGCACGTCAACGACTTAAATCTAGAAATAGTTTTCTAAGATCTACAGAGACACTCGCTGGAACACCTCAGCAAGCGAGAGTCCAAAAGTGGCAGGCTCAAATCCAGAACCTCAATCAATGGCTGATACCAAATGGGAGACTCCCCTCTGGGCACACAGAAGACGGGGCAACTTGGAAGGCGCTGAACAGACTTCGCTCTGGTACCACGAGATGCAGAGCCAACCTCAAGAAATGGGGCCACAAAGTGGAATCCATGATATGTGAGTGTGGAGAAGAGCAAACCACAGACCACCTGCTGCAATGCAATCTGAGCCCTGCCACATGCACAAGGGAGGACCTTCTTGGGGTGACACCAGAGTCACTCGAAGTGGCCAGATACTGGTCAAAGGACATTTCATCAACTACCAAGCTTGCAAACTTTGTGTTTTGTCTGTTTTGTTAAAAACGTAATACAAATGTCTGCTTGCTCCTGACACAATAAATAAATAAATCATGTCTCCTCTCAACCTTCTCTTCTGCAGGCTAAACATGTCCAGCTCTTTAAGCCGCTCCTCACAGGGCTTGTTCTCTAGTCCCTGGATCCTTTGAGTCGCCCTCCTCTGGATGCATTCCAGCTTATCAACATTTCCCTTCAATTGTGGTGCCCAGAATGGGACACAGTGTGATTCCAGGGAGAATAGAGCATGGGGAGCAGGACTTCCCTGGATCTAGACAGTATAATCCTACTGATGCAGGCCAAAAATTTCATTCCAGTCGTGAAAGCCTTCAACAACAGATTCAGGTGCTGCTTTGCTTCGGTGAGAAAGGGCAGGCTGCGGGGGAGAGCATGGAAATGAGGGAGGTAAGGCCAGGAGCAGTGGCGATGAGAGCAGCTTTGCATACTCATGCAAAACAGGACCACCCCGAATGCTGAGCGCAGAACCACCTGGTTTCTCTCTCCTCCTGACCCACATACTGTGGCCTACCTGTGGCACCCGTCCATCCCTCTGGTCTCTAGGCAACCAGGAGGAAGAGCCGCCACGTGGCAACCAGTGCTTCTCAGAGAAAGAGGGGAGAAGGCTGCATAGAAGACAGTGAAAACAGAAGCAGAACATCAGGAGCCACTGCCTGACAAAACCATAATGCTTCTGGTGCTCCTTGGCTTCCAAAAGTGACCCAACTGCATCCCAAAGCCCTGGAAGGAGCATCAGCAAGGGAGAGGTCCCTCTGAACCATTTTGGAGGAAGGGGAGGCTCCTAGGAGCAAGCTCCTCAGCAGTGGGGTCTTCTTGGCTCTGGTAGGCAGCAAAGGCACTCCCCCTGAAGTCAAACATGACCCCCCCCCATAAAAGATAGTAACTTATAGTTTTGCTAAGGACAAGGACACCAGACTGGATAATAAGGGTTTTTTCGGGCTATATGGCCATGTTCTAGAGGCAAACGTCAGGAGAAATGCCTCTAGAACATGGCCACATAGCCCGAAAAAACCCACAAGAACTGAGTGATTCCAGCCATGAAAGCCTTCGACAATACATAATAAGGGTTAAGCCTTGGTCAATTTGCCAAGACACTAACAACAACAAGGACCCTTCCCATGTTAGATAGTGTGCTGGTACAGCTGTACCAGAAGCTCCCACTTTATTTGCCTTGTATTAAGTGTTTGCTTGCAGCAGAAGGGTGGCTTCCTGTTAAAGTTTGCAGTTATAGGGCAGGCCCCCTGTCCATCATCGTTAAGTTTGGGAAGGGAGCCATTTTCAGTCAGTCTCAGCAAGGAAAGTCAATGTACAGGACATATACAGACTTCTCCTGTACAAAGGCTTCAACCCTTAAGACCTCCTGGGGGAGACAGTCTTAAGAGCAAAAGGATTCCCAAAGATTCCCAGGGAAACAGCCCTAAAGCTCTGAGGAATTTTGGAGGGAAAAACAGCTTTGGACATCTAAGAAGTCCAGCTGGAGTTCTTAGATGTCCAGGCCTACTGGTAGGTCCACTCAGTGCTTTGAGACGCAGTTCAACCCGGTAGTGGATCCCACATCGGTTAGGTTTAGGTTCACAGTTCGCCTGAGAGAAGTTTGGAAAGGGATTTTCTTTTAGAGTAAAGTAACAGAAGCCACCAGTAGCACAAAGCCTGGAAGCATTTGTTTAACTTTTGAAGACAAAAGAAGTTTCTGTTGATTGCTCACCAATAAAAGACTTTGTTATATTTCACAAGCCCTCTAAAGACTGTTTATGGTGAAAATCCTTAAGAATTTCTCTTCGGGCCCCCTGGCTAAAGTTGCACGTCCTGTTTTAAAGGCAATTCGTTTCAAGCCCAGCGCGCGGCAGAACAGATAGTGTGTACATTTAATCAAGGTTTTATGCCCTAGGTTTCATATATAGCAGAAGGTAGCACTTTTATTACTGAGAAACCACCTCCCTTGACACTTATGTACTCTCTTGAACTTCTATGGGACTCTGGTGGGAGGGATAAGTGAGTATGTTTTCTATAACATGATTTCTATATTTCTATATTCCTCCCTGTGTATCTGACCTTTTCCTGACCCTTTTGCCCAATCCCCCTTTATTGAAAAGATGTATAAAAATATAAGAAGCTACCCCTGTGATCCTGGAAAGGAGGAAATCCTCAGTTGGAAAATACCCTTATCAAAAGACACTATTTGCATGGACAATAACAAAGGATCGTGACCTCTGGCCACGGAATTGGCCCCCCAGGGGAAGCGGTCACTTGGCATTTTGATCATATCTCAATAGGACAGAGGAGGCCTTCGGAAAGCCGCACCCCGTCCTAATCTGTCACCCATTCAACTTTTTTTCTCATCGAAACTTCCACCAAAGTTCCCCCATTGTTCCTATGTCTCAGCACTGGAAAAATCCGGATTCAATGTTTATTGCAACCACTCAGTGACAATAGCCAGACTGGCTCGCAGGCCCTTAGGACTCGCTGGTCACTTGGACATTTCCTAATCTTCATAATCCACTCAAGAATGCATTGTTTCCTCTCGTCCCACCTCCCTCTCTCCTGATTCGTCAGGACGCTGAGGCGGCAGAAGCCCATCGATTGGCCCAGGCGCTCAGGAGAAGGCCAAGCTTCCTCCCAGCTGAAGAGCGCCAGCCAATCATAGTTGAGCCGGCAGGGGGGCAGGGAATGGGAGATTCAAACCTGGCCGCTCTGTTTTATGTATTAAAAGGCCTTTATTTTTGTACACTGTATGCTTAGCTTGGCGAAATATTGCTGCTTTGCATCCTTTTCAGTTAAATCGCAATAAAATCATCTTGGTGGTGCTTCCTTCAACTTTGGTGAGGTCTCTCCTTTGGGACCAGGCTCTTTTAAATTCCTCCATGATTTCACCCCAACGAATCCCACTCACCACGAAGGGCAGGAGGCACTCGTGCTGGTTCTGCGCCATGTAGAGGCTGAAGAGGGGGATGCGAGGAGGGCCGCCCAGGCTGCAGGCCAGGCAGAAGACGTGCTCCAGGGCTTTGCAGAGCTTGGGCTGGGTCTGGGCCCAATGCGGAGGACGGGCGTCCACAACCAGGATCCGTGGCGGCTGCGGAGGCTGGGAGTGCAGGGCCGGTTTGGCACCAGCGGGTTCCCCCGTGTCCCCAGTGCGCCTGGCCCCTGAGCTCATGGCGCAAAGGAGGATGCCTGCAGAAGGACGGAAAAAAGAAGGGAAAGAAGGGAGGTGGGCCCAAACTCACCAAGTAAAGGTCAACAGTGAGAAATGCAGATATAGGATGAGAGACGTCTAGCTTGAGAACAGTCCTTGTGAAAGAGACTTAGGAGTCTCAGCTGATCACAAGTTGAACAGAGCCAACTTGAGTATGATTGTCTTCCAGATGTGGTGTCTTGGAGGTGGGTCTCTAGGTGGCTGTGGAGCCCTATTCTTGATCTGCATATTCTCCTGCAGTGAGGGCATCGCTTTCCAGGTGGAAGTCAGTCCCAGTCAGGGTTGGCTCAACACACCTTCCTCTTGGCACATTTCTCCCTTTCATCCTCCATTCATGCCTCTTGAAATTCTGCAGCACTGCTGGTCACAGCTGACCTCCAGAGAGTGCTCAAGGGCCAGGGATTCCCAGTTCTCAGTGTCTATGCCACGGTTTTGAGGTTGGCTTTGAGCCCATCTTTGAATCTCTTTTCCTGCCCACGAACATTCCATTTTCCATTCTTGAGTTCGGAGTAGAGCAACTGCTTTGGGAGACAAAGATTGGGCATTGGGAAAAGATGGCCGGTCCAGCGGGGTTGATGGTGGAGGGAGGACAGGCCTGTAGCCAGGATTTTGATTCGAGGGGAGCTGAGTTTGATTCGGGGGGGGGGGGCTGCGTCTGAGTGAAAGAGGGTCTACCCTAGCAAACCTTTTGTATCGTTACCCCAATACCCCATGCATATGGGATATATTGAGCATGGTGATCAGATCATGATATGAATAAACATAACAGTTTAAATAAGGTACCAGTAAGGCCTTCTCGTGGACCACCCTGAGAATTTGGGGGGGGGGGGGGAATGTTGCAATCAGACAACGTGGCCAGTCCAGTGGAGTTGATGGCGGATGACCATCACTTCAGTGCTGGTGGTCTTTGCTTCTTCCAGCACACTGACATTTGTCTGCCTGTCTTCCCAAGAGATTTGCAGGAATTTTAGGAGGCAACGCTGATGGAATCATTCTAGGAGTTGCATGTGACATCTGTAGACCGTCCACGTCTCGCAGGTGTATAGCAGGGTTGGAGGACAATAGCTTTATAAACAAGCACCTTGGTCTCCCTATGGATATCCCGGCCCTCAAACACTCTCTGCTTCATTTGGAAGAATGCTGCACTTGCAGAGCTCAGGCGGTATTGTATTCCAGTGTCAATGTAGACTTTTGTGTAGTTCCAACAGACCTCACAATCTCTGAGGATGTTTGCCATAGATGCAGGCGAAATGTTGGGAGAGAATGCCTCTTGGACATGGCCATATAGCCTGAAAAAACCTACAACAACCCAGTGATTCCGGCCATGAAAGCCTTCGACAATACTCTCTGCTTCATTTGGAGGAATGCTGCACTTGCAGAGCTCAGGCGGTGTTGTATTTCAGTGTCAGTGTTGACTTTTGTGGAGAGTTGTCTGCCAAGGGAGTGGAAATTGTCAACATTTTCTAACGTTGCACCATTAAGCTGTATTTCTGGCATTGGAGAGGGATTGGCTGGTGACTGCTGGAAGAACACTTTGGTACGAACCAATATACATCTCAATGCGGAGAGTGGCCCAGCCATCGCTGGAGGCTCCTGCATCGGCCAGTTAGTTCATCACCCGGCTTGACAGCAATCTCTGGTCAGCTGTGTGCCAGCGGCTCAAGACCAGCTCCCTCCTGCCCGCATAAACACACACGGCGCTTAACCCCTCCGCACTCCATAAGTGCCCTGTCATGCACTGGAGCCCTCTTCTCCACTCACTCCACAAATGCACCCAGACAGGCACAGAGCTGCAGAAGTGGAGTGTGCAAGAAAGAGAGACGGATGCACCAATCTCTGTTGGGGAAATTGCTTGTGCTGTGGTAAGGAAACCACAGGATGTTCTGGCCTATTCGATCTAATAGCGATGGGCTGACCATCTGACCTTAATGGGATGGGGGAGTGCCCAGACGTAATGGAGTGCTGCTTGGAAGGGGAGCAGAGGATGAAAGAGCGAGAGTGATACTGCAGGCGAGGGGGTGGGATTAGGCTCGCTCTAAGTGGTTTCATTAGAACGGCAGAGAGCTGGCAGCTCTCCAGGTACGTTCTCCTCTCCTGCCTGAGTGATCCAGAGGAATGGGACTCTTCCCCACTCCTGTCAGCCTTCTGTCGGCCCAGAGAGGAGGAGCGCCAGCAGAGCATCCTTGCAGAGCACGAGGGCACACCTAATTATTATTATTATTATTAATTATTATTATTATTATTTTACTGACACAAAGCCACAGCCAACGAGGTCTCTATGCTGGATTTCTGGCACAAGCCAGTCAAGAGGGTCCCAGTGGTGATCAGCACACTGGGTGCAGTGCCTCGAGACCTTGGCCTGCACTTAATCACAATCGGCTCTGACATAAAATCACAAGTTGAACACTTCCCAAGCGTGTGATGTATTTTCGAATGACGTGCTCAGATCCAAGTCAGGTAGCCTTTTGCAGTTGACAGATCGTGATTTTGTCAATTTATTATTATTATTATTATCCTTCTTTCACTACTTGGTTTCATCCTTCTCTCTTTCCTTCATTCCCTCCCCCTTTCTTCCTTTGCCTTTCTTCCCTCCCTGTTTGCTTCCTTCTTTCACTTTTTATTTCCTTTTATTTCACCACCATCATAACAATAACAATAATGCAATGCATTGCCTCTGGGACCTGACAGCTCTCCCATTCCTCCAGGGTCTCACAGGAACAATAGCATAATAATAATAATAGAAATAACAACCTTTACCCGCCACGTGTTGCTGTGGCCAATCTTCCCTCTTTCTCTCCTTCTTTCCCTCCTTCCTTCCTTCCTTCCTTCCTTCCTTCCTTCCTTCCTTCCTTCCTTCCTTCCTTCCTTCCTTTCCATCTTTCCTTCTCCTCTTCTTTCTCTATCTCTTTCCTTCCTTCCCCCTTTTTTTTCTCTTCTGCTGTCTCTCTTTTCTTTCCTTCCATCTTTCCTTTTCTTTCCTTTTCTTCTTCCTCTAACTTTCCTTCCTTCCCCCTTTTTCTTTACCTCCCTTTCTCTTTCTTCCTTCTTTCCTTCCTTCCTGTCTTTCCTAGATTTTGACAGGGCGGGAAGGGGGGGGGGGGGTTTGGAGGTGGCGTGAAGTAAAAGGAGGTAAGATTGGGGTGGGGGTGGTGGGGCGTGGGGTTGCGTGTGTGTGTGCGGCGGGGGAGTGATGGAGCGTGGGGTTGCGTGTGTGTGCGGCGGCGAGGGGAGTGGGGTTGCGTGTGTGTGTGCGGCGGCGGGGGGAGTGGGGTTGCGTGTGTGTGCGGCGGTGGGGGGAGTGATGGAGCGTGGGGTTGCGTGTGTGTGTGTGGCGGCGGGGGGAGTGGGGTTGCGTGTGTGTGTGCGGCGGCGGGGGAGTGATGGAGCGTGGGGTTGCATGTGTGTGTGCGGCAGGGTGTGTGTGTGTGTGGGAAGCGGCGCGGCGGGGCTTGGAGTGGGCATGGTTTCCGCAGAGGGAACGTTGGCCGGAAGGCCATGTGCGCGCGCCAGGGAACTTGCGGCTGGGCGCCAATGCGCATGCTCAGTTGTTTTGCCGTTTTGTGAGTGTGTTGTTGTGTTGTTTTTCATTTTGAGTAGATATGTTTGTACCTTGTGGTTGTGTTATGGGCATGGGAATTTTGGTTAAGTTTCGTTGGGTTTTTTTGAGTTTTGTTGTTTTGCCGTTTTGTGAGTGTGTTGTTGTGTTGTTTTTCATTTTGAGTAGATATGTTTGTACCTTGTGGGTTGTGTTATGGGCACGGGGATTTTGGTTAAGTTTCGTTGGGGGATTTTTGAGTTTTGTTGTTTTGCCGTTTTGTGAGTGTGTTGTTGTGTTGTTTTTCATTTTGAGTAGATATGTTTGTACCTTGTGGGTTGTGTTATGGGCACGGGGATTTTGGTTAAGTTTCGTTGGGGGATTTTTGAGTTTTGTTGTTTTGCCGTTTTTTGAGTGTGTTGTTGTGTTGTTTTTCATTTTGAGTAGGTATGTTTGTACCTTGTGGGTTGTGTTATGGGCACGGGGATTTTAGTTAAGTTTCGTTGGGGGATTTTTGAGTTTTGTTGTTTTGCCGTTTTGTGAGTGTGTTGTTGTGTTGTTTTTCATTTTGAGTAGGTATGTTTGTACCTTGTGGGTTGTGTTATGGGCACGGGGATTTTGGTTAAGTTTCGTTGGGGGATTTTTGAGTTTTGTTGTTTTGCCGTTTTGTGAGTGTGTTGTTGTGTTGTTTTTCATTTTGAGTAGATATGTTTGTACCTTGTGGGTTGTGTTATGGGCACGGGGATTTTGGTTAAGTTTCGTTGGGGGATTTTTGAGTTTTGTTGTTTTGCCGTTTTGTGAGTGTGTTGTTGTGTTGTTTTTCATTTTGAGTAGATATGTTTGTACCTTGTGGGTTGTGTTATGGGCACGGGGATTTTAGTTAAGTTTCGTTGGGGGATTTTTGAGTTTTGTTGTTTTGCCGTTTTTTGAGTGTGTTGTTGTGTTGTTTTTCATTTTGAGTAGATATGTTTGTACCTTGTGGGTTGTGTTATGGGCACGGGGATTTTAGTTAAGTTTCGTTGGGGGATTTTTGAGTTTTGTTGTTTTGCCGTTTTGTGAGTGTGTTGTTGTGTTGTTTTTCATTTTGAGTAGATATGTTTGTACCTTGTGGGTTGTGTTATGGGCATGGGAATTTTGGTTAAGTTTCGTTGGGGGGTTTTTGAGTTTTGTTTCCTTGTTGGATGCCCCTAACAAATTTATATATATAGATTGTCCTCCCAACCCTGCTATAAGCCTGTGAAACGTGGACTGTCTATAGACGTCACATGCAACTCCTGGAATGATTCCATCAGCACTGCCTCTGAAAAATCCTGCAAATCTCTTGGGAAGACAAGGCAGACAAATGTCAGTGTGCTGGAAGAAGCAAAGACCACCAGCATTGAAGCGATGGTCCTCCCCATCAACTCCACTGGACCGGCCATGTTGT